TGTAGATAAAGCCCATCCTTGAGGCTGACAAAACTATAAAACATAAAATTACATACAAGAAATATAAATTTAACAAAAAAGGGTCTTACCCATTCTATTCCTTCAATGAAAGGTGTATCAGGCCAATCCTTCTCTGGAAACCTTTGTAAAATGATTCCATTACTTATACCCCCCCCTATAATAAAAATAATAAATAAAATTATGTAACATATAATATCTCAATAGTATACACAGATGAAATATTTCTATATAATACGAGTATTTTAGTTTTCTAATACTTGATTACTTTTTAAGAAAGGAATACCAAACATAAAGACATGACAGGCAATACAATATCAACAATTATTTATATGATAATTGCAAAATTCGAACATGATCAATTTCTGCCATAATTTAAAAGTTTATTAATAATGTGTATTGAGAGCATTGATGTGTACTTGAAATGTAACTGTTGTAAGAATCTTCATTACTCACTCTCTTTTTCGTGGTCGTAGCCGACCACAACAAAGTAGTCGGCTAACCGGAACATTTCTGTGTACTCGTGGGACTGCGTGGGGGTGATAGCGCCCAACATCCCACGTAGACTTTAATACACGTGATTTCATGGACCGTATCCTACCAAGCAACGATCAACTACCTTGTGTCAACGTTTCACATAAACACGCATTAATATGCAAATTAATCGTAGAATATTAAAAACATTTTGCAACCCTTGTTCTTTCATTTAAACACTACACAAATTCCAGGGTAAAGCGCCAGAAACGTAGTAACGTCATGAATGCATTTAAAAAATTGCGTTTCCTTTGAAGAGAGATTATCAGTAGGTGGTTGAAATTTCAAAGACACCACACGCACCGTTAGAAAAAGATTCTTCACACTCGTCACGCTTAGGAAACAAGTTTGCTCGTCATCACAGACGCGCGATATTCTATTTATTTTATAAACCACAATATGATGCCACACCCCAAAGCTTTAATCCATAACCTTCCAAACTCAAGCGCCACATTGAGTGTTTGTTGAACCGCATATGAACCAAAACGCGCCACGGATATACAAACGAAGAGACGAACGCGCTATAATTCGCATTTAATTTTACTTTTTTTTGTCTTCTGCTTGGGTCACTCAGAGTATCCTAAATCTGAAAACATACATATTATTATAGATGTTACTTCGATCAAACTTTAGAGCGCGTTCATAGTGAAATCAATGGGTGATTTCCAACAACGTATATAGATGACACTGCGTAACACAGTGACCTAAATCACTAGATACATGTATATATCTAGTCACTTTACAGTGAACGACTGGGTGCTTTCCAGAGATGCCAGAAAAGCACCGCCGGGTGCACACGCACACATGCCAGATACGCGTACGTGAGCTCGTGGAGTTTCGGAAAGTCGACAAAGGCAAACTGACGCATGCCCTCTTTCTCGATTCTCCGAAGCTGCCCGAAGTAATTTCGGATCGCCTCGTGGGAGTCGAGAGAGAAAGGCTCACATTTGCCTTCTCGCTCTAAACAACTGAAATCCGACCTCCCGTCAACGGCATACGATTTGGATTCTCGAGCCGAGATTCTCGACTGCCCAGGCATTTTTACTTTCCGACCTATGTAGGCGCACATAAGCAAAGTACCCATAATGAAAAAAAAATTTTGTAAAATTTATTTTACGGAAATACACGTTTTAAGACCTCCTGATCATATTTTAATTATTGAAAAAAAGACATTTTTTTTTATTCCCATGTATGAGCACACATATGTATATTATTAATACGATTTTTGAAAATCAAAATACTTTAAGATTGAAAATTAATAAATTAAAATGAGATTCCCCTCTTTACCAGTATTGTACACGCTGTGGTATTTTTCAATAAGAAGAGTTCTTACTTTTATAACATAAACAAAACAGTAGAATTAATAATTGCAGAAATTAATTAATAATGATTTTCCTCGATTGTTTTGAGATAACCGTATCAATTGGTTATGACGAACTAAATAGAACTAACTAGAAACAAAGGAAAAGTGATCCCGTTTGCCAGTTTAATACGAAGTATGGGTTGTATCTTAAATTTTAAAAGGACATAGTCGAATATTTTTAAAGGTACAAAACATAGCGTTTCATTGTAGAACAGTAACATAAGTTAGCAGGTAATGTCATAAAACTGTTTTTCCCAGCTAATATCCCTTTTTACCTGAAGTATAAGGTAAAAAGTACGAGCTACAAGGTACGACTATCCGAAAATCGTTCACATTTTATCAATGTAAATGAAGCGGCCTTTCCATCAGAGTTAAATACAAAATTTTGTAATTTCTGTGAAAACAAAACTTTCAGTAAATGTACGTGGTGCTTGAAATTTTTATGTTTTGACTGTTTTTGTGAAAAGTACCATCCAGATTCATGTACTTCGTACATTGAAAATAACATATGTTAAATGTAATCGGTTAAATATAACTTTAAAAAAAAATATTCGAAGGTCAGACAAAAATATAATGTCACATTTAGTGTACGATTAAAATATGATTGAAAAAATAAAAGAAAAGGATTTGTTTTGGCAGGGTTTGAACCTGCAGAGCAGAAGAAGCTCGGAACTTGCAGGCAAATACCTTGTCATTCACGCCACGCTGATTGTTGAACGTATTTCTATTTTTGAAGATAAGTACCTGTAATAACTTTAATAATATCTCAAAGTAAAACCTAACCCAAAACCTGGTACCATTCCAACTTTTCCTTGTTAGAACCGAGTTTTCAATTTGTCTTAGCGAAAATCGCAATCACATTTTGCACATTATTCTAAAACATTTGTGGTATTCGTTTTCAATGTGATTTAAGTAAGCATGTAATGTATAAGATTTCATTTAATGTTTTCTTTTCTAGAGAAGATAGAGAAAAAGTTTATATAATTTTTTTCATATAAAATTTAATTCGTCCTAAGATTTATATGAAACATTTAAAAGATTTTTTATACATTATGCCTATATATCGGAACAACTATGAAACAAGAGGTATAATCTGTAAGGAGTGTATGTGTGTGGCTAGGAGAACCGTTATCGTTTGCGTCGATAGGAGTGTTTAGTCTAAGCTAGAGTAGGTATCGAGTGAGGTGTTTAGGTTTAAGCTGAAATACGTTTTAGAGACTGTGTCTCGAACGTGCGTTTTGTTTAGATCATTATTATAAGATAGGAATAAGGAAGGGTCGACTTTGACTGCAGGAACGTCACTCTGTATCGAACGTTAGTCGAGAGCAATCACAGTTTTACGTTTATGATCTTTTACGTTTACGTTTTATGTCTTTCTTTTATGTTCTTTATGTTAAATAGTTAGTAAATATTAAATAATATAATTACATCGTTACGATTAGTGTTCACGTATTTGAATCCGTCCACACGCCTTTGAAATGAGAACATAAAACTTAAATGTAAAGTTTCATTTAAATTCATTCAGCTATTTATATTCAATCGTATTAATAATATACATATGTGTGCTCATACATGGGAATAAAAAAAAATGTCTTTTTTTTCAATAATTAAAATATGATCAGGAGGTCTTAAAACGTGTATTTCCGTAAAATAAATTTTACAAAATTTTTTTTTCATTATGGGTACTTTGCTTATGTGCGCCTACATAGGTCGGAAAGTAAAAATGCCTGGGCAGTCGAGAATCTCGGCTCGAGAATCCAAATCGTATGCCGTTGACGGGAGGTCGGATTTCAGTTGTTTAGAGCGAGAAGGCAAATGTGAGCCTTTCTCTCTCGACTCCCACGAGGCGATCCGAAATTACTTCGGGCGGCTTCGGAGAATCGAGAAAGAGGGCATGCGTCAGTTTGCCTTTGTCGACTTTCCGAAACTCCACGAGCTCACGTACGCGTATCTGGCATGTGTGCGTGTGCACCCGGCGGTGCTTTTCTGGCATCTCTGGCACAACTCAACACTGTGTTCAGCAATGCTGACGCTTTGTATCTCCCTATAAATAGCAACATTTAGTTTTTATTACACGTTGCACTATTTTTAAAATCAAATTGACCCATGTGTATAATAAAGTGTATAACATATGAATGCTGCGTACTCTTTTTATCAATAGCAAAATCAGACTCCCATGATTTTACTGTTTCTCGGTCAATATGGCTAGTACTATTTACGTCCATTCTATGAAAATTAATTAAACAATTTATTTTATTCTTGAAATAATTGAAACCTTGAAAACTTGAACGCTTTGTTTTGATAAATTCAAAAATTCGAGTAATCCTTACAGTACAGCGCCACCCATCGCTTAACACGACGAACAGGAGTGTTAGGTATCTGAAATTACAAATTCGAATCGAACTTGAAGGCTCAAAAAGATAACCAATCTAATTAGTAATTACTATGCTTGGTACACGTACTAAATGCGTAGTACATACAGTCTAAGACAGTATCTAAACATTTAAATAAAATTATGAATTGTAATTATTACAAGTTATATCTTTATCAACAAAATTAACTTTTTTCACTTATCAATTTACTATTAAGAATGGTACTTAATTTTTTTCAAAATAAATCTCTTCCCTTTTTTACAATTAATCAGTATATATACATATTAAAATTACAATCTTTATCATCACATCATAAATAGATTTTGAAAAAATTAATGTAGTAGTCGCAAAAAAAGTACATGTTAAAACTACTTAAATAATATTATGATGTAATAAATTTAATAACTCTTTTTACAAATAAAATGTCTCTACATTTTTTAACCACACTTTGCATTTAAAATACTTAAGTCACAATAAACAATTAATGAAAAAAAAGGATAGCGATGGGACAAAATGAAATACACAATATTTTATTACATGATACTAGAAATAATTAAAAGATATTAAACGCGTAAATTTGACAACTCCATTGCATTATATTATTAATCAGTAATCTCCTCAGAAATCATTTTTTTTAAATATTTTACATATAAGTATTCCTTTATAAATAATCAATGTTATTATTTATCAAAATGTATCACACATAAACCAGGTTGAAAATATTTGTGTCTGTACTGTTAGGTAAGGATTTTAAACTTCTTAAATTAATCAAGATATATTATTATTTACATTTTATCTCTCTAATGCTGTAAATCTATACGTAAATAATCCTACGTTAAATAACTGTACAGCATACAAGTTAATACAATGCTGTATTAGAAGCAGAAAACTAATCTAATTGATATAAAAATGTTTATATTAAGAAAAAAAACGTATCCCTCAATATATCTATCTTGTATTGAGTACATTGAACTAAAAGACTAGCAATGATTAAACAAACATTATGTCACATTATTTATTTTAACTTTTAAAAATGAATTGTTTAAATATTTATGTTTTTCATCTTTCATTCACATACTATAAGATATTACTATTTACGGAGTTCTAAAACCAAAACAAATGTTTAGCTATTGTAAATGTATCTAAATTTGAAACTTACAAATTTAAATCTTCTAAAATTGTAACAGTTTAATGTAGTCTATAATATTTATATGAAATGGCAAAAAATGTCATATTTATTAACGGGAGTATTTTGAAATATTCGAGACCAGAAAAGATTTTTGTTTATATAACTTGAATTATTTGTGTGATTTTAAAATTTCTTAAACAATGTGACAATCAGTTGAATGACATTAAAAACTAAATTTCTACAAGCAACAAAGTTCATACAACATTTTGTCAATAATTATAAAGAAATTTATATTTAATTTACACAATGATAATAGAAAATTCCGTAAACTCTGAAATAATCTAAAACGACATCGCAACGGGAATAACATCCAATCGTTTTAAATATACAAAGCCATCCGCACTGTATTCTCAAAATAAATAATTTCATCAGTTTCTTGCAATGATCAAACAATTAATTAACAGTCATAATATTAGCTGCTATGATCGCTCATGCTAATTATAGATTTAGTACTTTTAACTAAATGTCCAGGCTAGTTTTGCATAAGAAATCCTAAGATGGTTATAGATGCTGCCATCGTGTTGACATAAGAGTACTTGAAGATTCAATAGCTCTTGATATAGATTCATGTAGTCCATGCCCCAGCCACATTTGATTCAGTTGTCTGTATTTATCATGCCACAATTGTAGTGGATTTCCTCTTCGTAAACCTTGATCCGTTTCTCCATATTCGTCAAGATAAGGGGGACAAACAAACGATCCTCGATTTGGGCTTCTTAAGAAAAGAATTTCACATTCCCGTACTCGTAAGAACATTCCTACTCCGGTGCCACACTTGCTCGCGTGATATGTACACGCACCAACTGGCATCTTATTTATTTCAGTTTGGCAACAATAACTTTGAGAACATAACATTTCTCCACAAACCAGACACATTGTCGGATTTTTAGAATCCTCTCGTTCACTATTGGGACATGTGAAAGATGATATCATATTTATCAATTCACTATAATCTTCTGGAAGCTCGACCAATTTATTAACTTTCAAAGGTTCCCTTATTACTGTGACTGTACTAGCACCAGACAAATGCAGTTGAACAGTGGGATGACTTTTCCAAATATTTATCAATCTCATAATTATATCTAAATTTGGTTTGACTAATTCATCACATGTTGTAGGTAGTCCCAAATATCCGCAGATATTTTCATATGTAGCTCCATTTATTTTAGTTAGTTCCTCTGGAGCTGGAACATCAGATACATAATGAAAATAGAGAGCACAACATCTAAGAAAAGGCAAGCAAGCTTCCTTGACTCGTCTCCATATTTCAGCAACTGTTTGAGTACCAATATTAATGTCTAGAGCTTGAATCAATGTTAAAATTGATTCTGAAGATGTATCTTCAGTTGTTTCTTGACCTTCTATGTCCATACCTTCATTGAAATCTGATGTTAATAATATTTTTACTATAAGAGACAAAAATACAAATTGCAAAGCATAAAATTCACTTATTCCACCCGTTATGATCGATGGTATTGAATAAAATTTTGTGCTAAAGAGACTTGGGAGCGAATTAATTAGTGGAACAAGCACTCCGAATGGATCCCACTCTAAAATACTTGCTCCATCGGGTGGATTTTTTAATAACATTATTAAAAGGGAGAGTGCATGATTTCCAATAACATCTCTATCTGCCCATGTCAAATCTGCAGTAGCATCAGTCGCGCATGTAGCCTCCAAAATAGCTGAAATTCTAGCAAGACTTTCTAAGCTATCTCTTTGTCTAGATGATAAAGCGCCTAATAAAGGTTTATCCATGTCACGTAGTAGAAATTCTATAGCATGAACAGTATATGCTGTTGATTTCCATGCTAATAATGGTACCCTAGAGTCGCCATCATGAGGTTCTGCGCCACATCCGTTTGTATATGTCGCCTGTGCGAAAACATGTATCATAGATATTAAATTTTCAGAAATGATTGGACCAGGTTCATCATATATTGCCCTAAAAACTTCTCCTGCCAAATTTCCAAGTTCATGATGAATAACTTTTATTGGGCCATGTGATCCATGGTTTAAAGGATTCTCTTCTTCCATATCTTCAGATTTAGCATTTACGCAATACCTGCATCTGTGATCATGATTATATAATCCTTCTAATTTAGATTCTGTGACTCTCAAAGCCTCCAACCATGTACTAAAATCGAGTTCAGGTTGATTTTTAAGAGTTGGTTGCAATGTTCCTAAGGCTGGTAGGAGAGGTAAAACAGTATTACTAAGACACTCACAAAGTGGACAGAGATATTCATGTTTCTCCACATCAAAACTTGCGGGTTGTCGTAAACGGAATGGTCTTCTATTCTCTTTAGCAAGAACGTTATCGAAATACTCTTGCCAACAATTTACATGCATCACATGACCACAAGTACTTGTATGTGGCGACGCACCCAATTTTGCAGAAAGATACAATGGGTCAGGTTCAGTAGTGTCAGCTCTATATTGACATAGTACTGTGGATTGTTGAACAAACGCAGCTAATACCATTGCTGGACCAGTCGCTGTTACAGTTTGATTTTCCTGACATAAAATACAAGTGTAAGCTTTCTCCTCGGACATTCTTGTCGTTTGTCTAGGACCAACAGCAACAAGTGTTTTCTGAAAACATTCACTCAAATCCATAGTAGAACCCCGATCATTGGATTTGTTTGCATCTAAAGCAGCTTGTTCAAACAACTCGGCATTCTTTTTCATAAAATGTTTCTGCATAGCGGCCATTTGTGCCATTATTTTAGCACGTTTTTTCGCTGCCATCTTTGTTCTCCATTCTTTATCACTTTTGCTGTTTTCGGTATCATTTGTAGGTTCTGTATGAATCGCAGCAGGTGAGTTACTAACTTCCATTACAGTATTACCAGCAACTTCCCTATACTTTGTTAAAACCCAAGTTAATAAATCTTTATGGGCTCCTATACGTGGACTGCTAGATAATAATTCTAACAATTTATAAATTTTCCATTTTGCAGCTCTTGCAGGAAAAGCAAGGAAAGGATAGTAGCCTGATTCTTGTTCTTGAAGAGCATATCCAATTAAGTGTAAAATCTTATGCACTTGTGGCTCTGAGAAACTGCGAGCTGAAGTATCAACTGCTCTTTCTAACACAGTTTGCATAATATGTAACATAACATCACACTGTAGCAAATTAGTTACCAAACTAAATACTTCCGTCAGTATAGGAAGTTTAGGAGGTGGACAACATTCTAGTTCTCCCAAAGCTTGTCTTCGTTTCCGTTGTACTTCTTCAGATTTGCTTAGTTCTTCTTTTGTATAATGGTAAAAGAAGACATTATATTCTGAATACAAATGAGGTTTCAATTGATACACTCCTTTTCCTCCTAATGCTGGTGAAGGTTTTTTGAAATCTGCAACATCATCAATTACCCTTTCCATACCGTTTCTCAAATTTCCATCATCTGGTAATGTTTTATTAAGCTCTGAATGAGAAAGTGGTTTAATACACAATTGTTGGATTATTTCTTTCTTCAAATAGTCATCCTCATTTACTTGTCCAACTCCAGGTACATATCTTTCCCCGATTATTGTTATCAGTAATCCAAGAAATTCTTCGACCAAGTTAATGGTTTGTTTACTACTCTCTTCTTGAGGATTTTTGAAAACATTGGTTTCAAAATCTGGAGTCGCCCAGTGCAGAAGGTTGAATTTATTCAAAACGTGAATTAAAAATTCATTGCTTTCTATTAATGATGCTCCAACTTGAAGTAATATAATATCTCTGTCTAACATTTCTGAACGGCACTTAACATTATGATAAAAATACAACTGACTCAGCAAAGAATATCCATTTCTTCTCCACATACCAGCATGTACTTGTGAAATCATTACTTGAGCTGCTAATACAGGTTCTATTATTTGTTCTGGCGTTGGTTTTTTTTGATTGATAAATTCTGGAGATTGAAAATGCAGATTGTGTTTTTCAAGATACAAAAACAGACCGGCTAACAATCTGGAGAGAGGAAGGTGTATAGATACTGGTTCGACTGAAACATCATATTGAATACATGTTGCACCATGATCTGTTAGTTCTCTCACTTGATATCGGCCATTCTCATGTCCTGACTGTTCATATAAACGTTTTAAGACCAATCTGAAGGCTTTTATTAAAACAGTTCGATCTGAACCACACCATTCTAATGCACGGTTAGTAACTGTAGATAATCTAGCCTGTAAATTGAACGCTGTTTCCCATTCAGGTTCATATTCCATATGCTGACCAACTTGTCTTAGCACAGCATCCATGCATTGCATACTGCAAAATAATGTGAGTAAAAGTGAAAATCCTTGTAAGAACCCTTTTCTCAGATCATCAGTCCAAACATCTGGTTTGGCACTAAGTAAATATCGTAGGTCATGAATTATATGTTGAGCTCTTCTAAAAGGAGTATGAGGGTTGTCTCTTTCAAATTCTAATTTTCCCGCAGCATTACATCTTCGTGAACTTTCAGAAATAAATGTGTTTAGTAAGATAAACAACACATCATGATGTGCGATAAGATAATGCGCCAATGTTGGAGCTGTAAATAATTGCACCGAAAGTGAAACAATAGAAAACGAATGATCATGATCATCCCTTATGAAATCTTTCATAACAGAACCGTAATTGTAAGTAAAAACAATTGCTAAAGCTTTTTTGCTTTCATATTCTTTAAGCATTCCAGACATGAATAATCTGTGCCATGCTATTCTAGCAGATTTCCATAACTGTGAATCTCTCATAAGTATACCTTCTACAATGGAAAAGTCTGGAAAATTTGTATTGAGCGCAACATTACTGAAGAGTACTCTAAAACCTTCACAAAGACTTATAAATTGTTGTAACCAATGTAAAAGTTTCATAGCAAATGTCTGATGAGCAATTACATGAGCATGCACTACGTGGACCTTCAATGCTCGACTGCTGTACCTCGGACTAAATTGTTCAATATCAAACTTCAAATCTTTACAATGTTCAAATATAGAACACTTCAACACAGCTCTACCTTCTGTATCAACATTTGTTACAAATTCAACTGCATCTCTTTGCGAGCATTTCATAATACGTATGAGCGTCGTAATTACTTGTTCAAATGTATGAGCCTCGTCATTATAAAGGACTGTACAATAGATATGTTGTGTCATAGGATCACCTTCAGTGTCTCTTTTTAATTCAGCAGGTAAACTAGATGAGTGTTCTAAAGTTAACATTTCATAGCAGTACCTTAGTACTGCCGTAAAAGTTACTACTGCTCTTTTTGTTATATCTTCAGGCAATTTATTTCCGCGTGATTCTTTAGCTTCAGATCCAGCTAAATGTATGTTACAGAATGGTTCTCTTTTCCAAGCTTCTGTGTCTCCGCAATCACAAAATCCTCCACCACTAGAAGTGCCCATTTTATACTTATGGTTACGATGAGTTGATTGCTTAAAACAATCCACGCACAAGACACATGTCAAATCTGCACTACACTCTCTGCAGCTATATGTAGGATCACCCATCTTGAATACTTTACTACATACTGTATTATCCATTTGACTTAGCTGTTTTAATACAACTTGTGGGTCTCCATTACAAATAAACTCCTCTAATGTATTATAAAGTATTTTTTGTGCTTTTTCTTCTTCAAAATTCCAATCTAGGCAATTGCCAAATAAGTCTGGACTATATAAATCTGGAACCCAAATTCGCCAGTGTTCCCTAAAATCAGTATAGGTGAATGTTCCTTTACTCATTTTTTCCATCCATGTATTCACACATGATTGACTAAACTTTGGGAATGTGGGCAAAGTTGATGGTGACTCTGTATCTTCAATGCTTTGTTGTGGTTCACTTTGTACATTTTCGTTACTCATTGTGATGAGATTTAATTGTCAAAACAATGTGGACTGAAATAATAAATATTATAAATTAAAGTTTAGCATAATTTTTAAATATGTCATCATTTTTATCTTAAAAACATTCAATAATTGTTTTTACAAAATTCATACAATACAATAATTTATAAAGCTACATTATTATGGTTACTTTTAAATTAAAAAATCTTTACAATATCAATTGATACAACATTTTTTGTATCCTTTTATATTTATTTACATCTTTGTATTTAAATATTAACAGTATTTAATAATACATATACAATTATGTAAATTTTATTTGAAAACCATAAATGCTCGATAAATATTGCTATACTAACCACAGTAAAACACAGGATCAACACAGTTCTCAATATAATATACCAACGGAAGGCAAATGCATCTCACTATATTTTTTACATTGTTATTTGATCCAATATATTATTGTAAGGTATACAAAAACCGTTGGTAGAATTTTATTACACGAAACACTTTAGTTCATATGAATTGTGGTTTTATTCAATGGCTTCTATTTCACACATAATGTTCTCATTTTTACTCAGTCATAATCTGAAAGTGATAGGTTACTAAGGATTTATAGAAAAGAATGTATGTACACAATATTATACTACTTTTCTACTACAATTAGAAAATGTTAGTAACTGCGTATAATCGCGAACATTTATACGATCGAATAGGGTATTAAAATGACGTTTCGAGAAACAGGAAGCAAGTTCGAGAATTTCGTAGGAGATAAAAGCTAAATGTAACATTACGAAACTTTATATGTTATATAGAGCGAACAACATTTCTGTTTGAAAAACTATTTCATAAGTATGACAAACTTTTCACTAAACCAAACTATTTTTAACTTCTTCGGAAGACGATACTTACTGTTATGACGACCAGCCCAAGGTTAATAAAAGATATTGAAAAGTTCTTTGTTTCGCAGAATCTGTAGGTGACTTTCACGATTACGTATATGATAATAATTCAGAATTATGTCGTCGTATGATGATCACACACTCGCGTCAGAGACGCATATGTTTAATAATGGCAATCAACCAAGTTTTGACATCCCGAAACGAAATGATAAGTAATATTTTTGCACAGCTGCTTGAACAATGCACAAAATGGCTTATAAAGTTTAGAGACCGAAACCATATGTATATTAGATACGCTTTCGTTTTGAATCAAAACTTTTGATGTCTGTTTTTGATTGCAGCGCCTAATTTGTGAGCATTAATGAAAATATTTCTGAAAATCACAAACTGTAGAGTATATTAATTTAATCAAATATAAAAATTTTTAAAATAAATATATTTTAATTTGTATAGCCAAATAATTAATATATTCGAAAGTATTTGAAAATGTATTCTCTATATCGTGAGAATTGAATAATTTTTACTCATGAATATAATACAATTTTGAAACAATAGAAAAATTATGTTATCATATTCATTAAAATGTATTGATTCTTTCTTAAATTTAGAAAATTATCAAGTTAATCTATATTAATATAATACTATTTTTATATTAAATTAAAATTTAAGAAACAAACAAGACTTAAGGTTATTAAAAGAGTCGTATATAAATTGAATTTTATATTAAAAATTAAACAATTGAAATTTTCAAATAGTATATAGAGTTATGCGTATAACGGAATATTAACGAATAAAATATAAGATGAAACCTTTCAAGTTAAAACACTTATTAAAGTCAAATAGATATTTTTCACTTTTTTATACATACATAAGAGTAATATAAATTTAATTAGTTGGCAACAATGAGTTACTATTAGGGATTTTGTCGGTATACTGGGTATACAATTTGTCGGAACCTCTCCTTTTAGTTCATAACGTTGTTACACGAGCACGTGGTTAAAACTGTGATTATTGAATTTAAAGCGAAATACAAGCATAATCACGTAAGTAAATACATCAAATTAAATATTACGATATAAGCTATATGTACATAATGGAAAAAATTATTTATTTCTACTAAAGTTTTGTATATCGATGCATGTTCATATGGCTTCAAGTCACACATTAGTATTACACCTTAAAAGACTTTCACAATATAAAATAATAAATAAATTATTGTAACATTAATAATCATTGCTTGATAAACATATACAATACTACACATTATACAGTAAAAGTAACCCAAATATTTTGTGTTGTATGGTGTATGCATTTTAGAACAGTATAAAATGTACTGTGTCAATCACTATCAATTAATTGCATGGTGAGTCTACTCCTGCTAAACTTTGCAAGAAGCAAGTTTAAACTCAATATAATTTAATTGTATATAATGTAATACTATGTATTAATTAAATTTTAAGTTTTATTTTCATTCTTAACTGTCATTAATCATTCTCAAAATTGATGAAATAATGTTTGTAATGCAATATGATAAAGAATCTACTATGTATTTAATTGCATTATGTTGTGCAATGTTCAAACTTGAAGAGGCTAATATTTATGTAACAAACTTTTTCAAATAACAGAATTTATATTAATATTGTAAAGAAATTTCACAATAATCTGTATTATATTAAAATTATAAGTAAATCTTTTTGATCATAATAATCTATTCTATGCAATTCATAATAAACCAATATGTTATACCAACAGTAATGTATTACATGTATATAAAGTATTTTCTTCTTTTTTTTTTTTATAGAATGCCTCTTGCAAAAGATTTTCTTCATCCAAGTCCAACTGAAGAAAAAAGGAAGCACAAGTTAAAAAGACTTGTACAGAAACCAAATAGCTATTTCATGGATGTTAAGTGCCCTGGATGTTATGCTATCAAAACTATCTTCTCACATGCACAAAGATCAGTTGAATGTGATGGCTGTCGCACAATACTTTGTACATCCACAGGTGGTAAAGCTCGATTAACAGAAGGTTGCTCTTTTAGGAAAAAGGTCCAATGCTAGTGCAACAATCGTTAAAACAACATAATGTATACATTTCTCTTTATATGCAAGAAATAAACATAATTACTATATATTTAACTTCCTTTGTTTATTCTGTCCTATTTTCACTTTCATTGCAATCCCTAAAAAATTTTTTTAACTCTGGGAATTGACATAAATTAAAATACACACTTAACTCTTATATACCTGTTTGTTTATATATGTTACAATTGCAACGAATATACAAACAAATCATTAACATAATTTGTCTTTATTTTGACTTACATTCGATTACTTTATGATAAATTTAACAGTATATTAAATTTGTTTAAGTTTACAATAAAATATAAACAAACAATTTTTAATCGTTTTCAATTGGATAAATTATATATATAAGTGATTTGTATTAAACAAATTGTTGGACTATGGTTGTGAAATATGATATTTGCATAAATTTAATGTCAAATGACTTAATTCGCTATTTAAGAATGCAAAATTGCATTGTATGATTGAAATATGCCTGCAGCAACTTCCACAGAGCGAGACTTCAAAGATAACTGTAATCAAAATACATTGGTCATTAATTAAATACACATTCTATTATCAATAATCATATGGATCTAAAATTGAACTTACAGTGACATCAGGATTTCCTGGTCGAATTTTCAACTCATTTAATACCCAAACATGGTTTGTTAATTTAAGGGATTGATACAACATGTCTTGTCCTTCTACATTTCTTTTTGCAATTGTAAATACATTATTTTGTTGCATTTTTTGGACAACTTGATCAACAGTCAACATTACTCCTTTCAATGTATATTGTACCTGCAACATTAACATATATTTATTAATACTTGTATTATTTTATAATAAATTCAGTTATGTAAAAAGAAAAACTAACAAATACCTCATTTTGAGCAGGTATATCTTTCCATGTACTAAGAAATACTCTTTTCTCTAATTGTCCATCCTCTAAAAAAAAGGTACTCATGGGAACAATACAAGCAAAATAGAATACATCGATATTATTTTTTATTGCAACTTGAAGATTATTCAACGGTTCCATGCGTTGTACTGCACCAGCTGTAGATAAGATTACATTGGTATCTACACTAGCACCAGGATTCAAAGGACTTGGTACTTGTAATGGAGCAGCTGGTGTTAGACCAAAACTATTTATATTTAATTGTATTGCAAAACCTCCCATAGGTTGCATGGCTTTATTTGTAAATGTCATATCCATGCTAATTTGTCCATTCCTATTATAAAATTACATCAAATAATTAATTTTAATTGTATTCAAATTCATATTTGTTCAATATTTAATACATTTCAATAATATTACTTACTTCCGCGAGAAAGTTCCCCATATATCAAGTCCTTTACCCTTTTCGGCAGGTAACCAATTAACTTTAGGTGGTATATAAGAAGAAGGTCCTTGATTAAAACCAAATATATCACCAAGAAGACCAGTAGTGCTTTGAGACACTACAGGTGCACTAGTTCCAGTATCAGTACCACCCAAAATTCCATCCAAACCACCACCTAACAGGTCTAATCCTGCTTGAGGAGCTGGAGCTGGAGTAACCATACTTGGACCGCCTATAAAAATAAATAATATAATAAAAGACACGATCATGTCTTACGTTAAGTTTACACACGAGCGGCGAAACATAACTGTGTATCTTTACGCGAAGTACTCATAAGGAAATGTCGCGAACGGTCCGGTTCCGTTTTCAACGAAACTTTACATGTTTGTAGAACAACCAAACATAGTAGATACGTATTTTTGTCTAGTTATAGTAACAAATTTATGCATCCCCCAAAGTGCTAACTCGAACACGATTAGGGATAAAAAAAAAGTTTCAGTAAAAATTGATGTCTTTTTTTTTAAGAAAGGTAAGTTTGCACGCTTCAAATCACAATAAATACTTACCAATATCCATACTAAGAAGATCACCTATTAGAGAATCTTGATTAGGAATGACTTGAGCATGAAGTTGTGTTGTTGTATGTTGTCCTGAATCTTCATTTGAATTACTTCTAGCAGGCAATGATTTTCTGGCACCCGCTGCTCTACCTTCAACGAAGGCAGTCGGTGGTTTATGATATACAGATGCCAAACTTGAAATATGACATATTAATTCATCTAATAATGTTGGTTCTATCAAATCCGTTTCTTCTGAAATAAGAGGTTTCTCGGCAAGTACAACTTCTTTGGCAGCTGCTGGATCAGTGCTAAGTAATCGCCAGTAGATGAAACCTCGATCTCTTAAATCAGGATTATCAGAATCTTGTGTTGCTAAACTAAGAACTTGCTGAACCAATTCTTGGGTATCTGTAGGTCTTTTAAGAAATAGTTTAACAATTGCCGTAAGTAATTGCAACTGTACTTGGGTATTTTCATCGTGAAATCCGTCCAAGAAACTTTCAAGGAGCTCATCTGCATTATCAATACGTTCAGCGTATTCACCAATAATCCATATCATGGAAGCACGTGCTTCAGGTTCGTCAAGCGTATCCAAATTTTCACAAAGAGTTGAGATAATACTTTCATATTTGTTTGGATATTTTCGGAAAATGTCTTTTATAACTACAATTGCTTCTTGAACAACGTAATTGACCTTTGTTTGTATCAGATCCAAGAGTGTTGAAACGCACCGTTCAGCAGAAGGTTCAACTTTGATGGCACAACGACCAATAGCTCTGACTGCTTTTCGTACAAAATCTACATCAACTTCTGTAGCATATTCTTTCAATTCAGATAAAACCTGAGCTATGTTAGCTTGAGATGCTAAACGAATCATAATATCTAGCTTTTCAAGTTTCACGTAAATTGGATCATTATATTTGACAAAGAAAACTTTCATTTCATGTTTTAAAATATCTGGGCGTTTCTGAACAATAAGATTTATATTTCTTAATGCTACATATTGAACTTCAGGCTCAGAACTGAGTAAAGTTACAAGAGGTGGAGCTAATTTTTTTGTTAAAGTGCCAACAAAGTCAGATTCTGATTGTAACATTTCCATTAATTTCATTAATACCTATAAATGAAGAAAACTATTTTAACAAATTAAAATAATTATAGAATATTTTTAATTGCAAACATTAACTTTTATTTGATATGCTACCTTAACAGCAGACAAGACAACTGCGGCGTTAGCATGAGCTAAACGTGGAGTAATTCGTTCACATATACTTTGTGCTTCGCGATCGTCTTTAGGTGAATAATTTGCAAGTGAATCCAAAATGAAAACTTGACCCCATTCTGTACATTCATTGAGGGCTGTTAATAATTTGTTAATGGTTTGTGCATTCATTTCAACCAAAGGTTGCCCACTTGGACTTGCTTCATTAATTTCAGATAAAGCAGCTACCGCGTTTGCAACAACCTAAACGTACAAATTATGTGTAAAGGTAAGTATGTACTTCAATATTTACATGATACGTAAATTTGAAACATTTACCATAGGATTACTGTCTGATAAAAGATCTTTCAACTGATCCAAAAATCCTTGATCCTCTACTAAAGCTGCATTAATATCATAAAGCTTGGCCACGCAAACAGCTGCAGTCTTACGAACATATGGGTCTTCATCCTTCAGGCATTTCCGCAATGGCTCACAGAGGTACTCAGTAATCTTGTCCACGCGTATACAACCCATTGTGCGAACTGCTAATGCTCGAATCAGCGGATTTGGGTCCTCGCAATCCTGCGCAAAAATCGGGCAAGCCAGGGATTCAAGTCTAGTCACAGCAGTGGCTATCTATCTCAACCCATGAATTTTAACGAAGTAGAAAGTGGTATGGTACCTTTGTCATCGGAGATGTCGCTAGCTCCTTTTGCGTGTCAGAACGAAAAAGGTCAAATTGGTCACCGTCACCATTTTGATTAATTGTTAAATATTATACTTATCAACCATTTAATGTAATATGATGCAGAACTGATCATTTTTTAAAGAGCACGAGATATTCTTCATAATTTCTCTATTTATAGTTCTTTTTTTTATAATAATTTACAAATTAAAATTAAATTATAACTTCCACATTAATTAGTGTCATGCACATAAGATTATGTTACATGATATCTATTCAAACATTAACAAAATGTACATCCACATGTTTATAATAATTGCATTATGAAATATTAATTTGAACATTGATTACACTTATTAATTAACACTAAAGTTCTGAAAAGAATAAAACACTTTGCGTGCAGATAATATAAATATGCACTGCGTACAAGTAGCAATTTATAATGCAGTCATACATATAAAATGAACATTTAAGGAACTTTTCATGCTGTTTACACATTAGACATTGTGACTAAGGAACAAATTTTTGTTTCTACCACTGAGGCTGTTTCAAATACAATTTTTAAAAGACCAATTACATTTTTATTACAAATATAGCTGTGCTTTTATTATACAAGTTTCTACAAGCTATTTAATTGTATATACTATTTTTATGATTTGAAAAAGTTCCATGCTCTGTTTTGAGAAATAGCACAAATTATACTAGTGCATTAATATTAAAGAACTAACACATATATTATTCAGTTCTTTGGACGATTTTCTTAATTGTTGTACTAAATGTTACAACTGTCATAATTCCATTCCTGTTTTTGATGCTAAACTGAACTGAAAAAAAGATACTGGAATTTGGTGACAATGAAACAATAGAATCATGACAGATTGATGGAAATTATTAACGATAATATTACGATCTAATTTAAAATATAGGATAATACAAATTATATTTTATTTAGCCAAATTCCAGTCTCGTGCCCTTTGAAAAATAAGCAATTCATTAAGAGAGAACAAAAGATACATTCCGTCCCATAACGCAGACAGCTCTGTGCAAACTGATGTAATTTGCAAAGCACGGTCTGTACATGATGTGAGGCAGGCTGTAAAATTAATGTTCAATTTATTTGACAATAATATATGTAACTTAAGAAACTTCTACGTAAAACTTTTTCCAGCTTGCCTCTTTGCAGACAGAGACTCTCAACATCATCCAAGTGTCATTAAAATATATAAAGGGTAAAAGTGCATTAATAAAACATGATAAATATGTATTGAGTTTCTAGGCTACATTACCTTGACAAATGTGTTGACAGCCATGATGGCCATGTCTGGTTGAGTTTTGGCATAATTCATCAGATACAAATACACCAGCTTTTTGAGTTCCAAATTGTCTGTCTGCATACAATTGACCACATCTGGGAAGAGTGCTGATACATCTTTACCCACAGTCATGGAAGCAATCACCTAAACATAGTTGACTACATTTAAACAACTACTTAATAAAATATAATTGCAAAAGTAAAAATAATAATATTTTTATTACTTTAAAAAAGTATAAAAACATGAACATAATTTATATTGCCTTTAATTAAATAATGTTTTTGGGACTCAATAGAGAAGTATACATATAATAAATAAACATTAATATCATTATAATTTCCCAATCTGAAGAAATTTTATTATATTCCTTTAATCATACTTTTCTTTCTGCAGTATGAAACAGATTTGTTGGCTTTATGTTTATGGAATAATAAATTCTTATGTATAAGAATGATATTGCAAATCGAAGTTTAAATTTCAAGAAATAAAGAAAATGAAATGTACAATATAAATGAAGAATTTATATAATTATCTTACAAAAAACTACATTATCTTTTAAAATCACATTTTAGCTGCATAGAACTATTTACTAACTCTTTACAAAATATGAATACAATCAGTGAAAAGAGATTAAAATCATTGTCAACTTGGTATATTACACAATTGATTTTTAAATTTATATTACATAAAGTAATAAGTAATTAAAAGATTTCATTAATACATTGACTCACCTTCTTCACAGCTTCTTTCTTCTTTTCTTTCTTGTCATTATTTAATTCTGATTTAAGTTCATACATTTCTCCTTTTTTTGTAGTGGTAAAATACTTGGAATCTGTCATCTTGAATTTTTTAAATACTTTGAGAAATGATAATGCAAATATCAAATATGTGTTCTGAAAAAGAAACAACTATACATTGCGGGTGCAGTAGGGTGGCAAAATTAAATAAGGTTTCAATATAGTAAACCACGATTGGATCAATGTTCAAAGTATATAGTGTCATTCTACTAACTCTAACCAAAATGTAAAATGTTAACAAAATGTTAATTCAATTGAATTCCAAATAAGAATATCCTTTATGACTTTACAATTCAAAAGCATTAAAGATGTTTGAAATATAATATAATAATAATACATAGTGAAAAATTCAATATATGCAAATTTTGTACAAATTCCTATCGCGAAATTACAAAACAAATCGGATGATTTTTAAACATGTTATTTAATAATACTTATTCTTTATGTACCTCAACTGTTTTAAACGATCAACAAATGTAAAAAAATCGTTAGTTGACAGTACATTGACAGGTCCTTACGCAAAACGCCCTTCTAACCATGGGCTATAGACACTCACGATGGATTCATACGTTCTTCTTGATGCTGATGCGTACCTCACAAACGACTAAAACGGCTCTAGTGCTATTCTCTAGCACGAGCCATACGCCATACTGAAAGAAAGAGCCAGTAAAACTACGAGAGTCCGATTTTGCATTGGATAGGCCAACACACAAACGCCTCTTGTTTTGTCTTGCTTCCGGTTTGTATCAAAATGTCGGGGGCCAATGAAATAGTTGAACGTAATGCTCGATCCCTTCCTAGAGGATCCCTAGAGGAATTATTCTAGTGTGTTGCCATGCAGTGTGACCAGATTTGGCATAATTGAGTGCATCGACGGCGACACTAGTAACGACGAATTTCCTTAGCGTTTAATGAAGTGGTGGGGAAAATTGACATATCCTACCGCACGAACCACATGTTACGCCAGGTCAGCACTTCATGCAACTTCGGGAAATCGATAAAGAACGTGAACGGGAGCCTTTCCTTCTTGCTCTTGAACAGTTGAAGACCGTCTTCGCGGCATACAATTTCGAATCTCGACTGCCCAGGTATTTTTATGTTTCGAGCTATATGTATAGACACATACATATAAGCAAACTCCATAATGATTGAAAAATTTTCACGTAAATACACGTTTCAAGACACCCCAATCATGTTTGAAATAAAACAGTACTTTGGAAATAAATCGTTTGAATATAGTTTATCAAGTAAGACTTTAGAAATTATTTTCAAACGATTTATTTTCTAATTGTTCTATTATTTCAAATAATAATACTTTAATTTTATAACAAAGAATGTTTATTTAATATTTAATTCAATTTGTATTTGTATATTTTTTGCCTATATAGACAAATATACCATGTTTGGTTTTATTACATAGTTGTTCCGTAACGGAGATGTTCATTCTCTGAGTTGTTCAATACATAAATGTGTGTCTATATAGCTCGAAACGTAAAAATGCCGGGGCAGTCGAGATTTGAAATTGTATGCCATTAACGGGAGGACGAACTTCAGCTGTTCAAGAGCAAGAAGGAAAGACTCCTGTTCACGTTCTTTATCGATTTCCCGAAGTTGCATGAAGTGCTGACCGGGCGTAACATGTGGTTGGAGCGGTAAGATATGTCGGCTTTCCCAACCACTCAGTTAGATGCTAAGGAAGTTCGTCGTCACTATTGTCGATTTCGATGCACTCAATTATGCCCGATCTGGCGGCCAGATTCTGGCCACAGTGATAGGATGTTAAAACGCGTGTAACCTGTTTTAAACAGTATATAACCTAACCTTACTGGTTCTGTCACGTGGAATAACTGGGAGTTTATCCAAATCAAAAGAAAATAATACTATTAGGTACTACTGTTACAGTATACCACCATAATTCATTTTTCAGTTATTAAATGTGTTAAAAACTATTAAAAGATTTATAAATGTAAACAAAAGTTTTCAAATATAGTATCCTAATGAGTTTTGATAACATGAGTATCACTGAAATATTTCTTGAAAGTGCTGCAGATGCAAAAGTATTATTTACTGTTGCAACAATAATGGGATATTGTTTATATAGAATAATGACAATAACAAATAGGAGAAAATTAGAAACTTTAGAGGACTCTAATGAATCTTCAAACAGTATAGTAAGACATATTTTAATGTCTACAATGTCATTATTTTACAACATGTGGAATTAAGACAATAAATAATTTTGTTTTTTGTTATAAAATAGGTATATACAGATGAATATGATAATTACAAGCTTATTTTAGTCATTAGAACTGATTTAAAAATGGGAAAAGGAAAAGTTGCAGCACAATGTGCTCATGCTGCTGTTGCAGCATATAAGGCAGCTATTAAAAATCCTAAAATTTTACAAGCCTGGGAAGAATGTGGTCAAGCCAAGATTACTGTTAAAGTATGTATACTTTTATACATTTAATGAAATAAACTAAGATTTGTATGATAATTATTTGCTTTTAATCATATAATTATGACTGAATAAATGCCTAGGTGGATAGTGAAGATGCTTTAAAAGAGGTGGCAAAGCAAGCCAGAGCTGTAGGACTTTTAGCAAATATGATACAAGATGCTGGGCATACACAGGTAGCACCAGGAAGCAGAACAGTATGTGCAGTTGGTCCAGGTCCAGCATCACTAATTGATCAAGTAACTGGACATTTAAAATTGTTTTAATAATTTACTGAATAAAGGTACCTCTTTCTATTTAAGTTTTAAATCAATATTTGAATTTTTTAAGCCCAGTATTTTAATCCAAAAATTTCATTTACATTAGAAAAGTTATGTATTAAATGCAGAATTATCAATATATACTTCAAATATTATAATTAAAAATATAACTATGTAACTTTTGTAAAAAAAAAAAACCAACACATAAAAAATGTGACAATATATTTATGAAAAATAGAATAAGTACAAGTTAGTGAAATACATATTACAATCTTAAATTCATCTTCAGTCTGCAATGCATACCTTTAATTAAGTAGTAATGTTTTACACATAGCAATGTTTTCATTTGATAAATTTCAATGCAATATTATCTTACACATTCATCTTAATAATAATATAATACATTTTTGCATTAACAAATATAGGTATAGCATTGGGTGTTATTGTAAACAGTATGTTTTTTATATTAAATTTTATTAATTGTCAGTGTAAGTAGAAATGGCATTTACTTATATCATGTTGTAAAATAGATCTAGTATAGATCTAGAAATAATATCAAGTAGAATCATACTGCTATGAAGTAAGCAATTATCATGAATTAATTGTTCCCCGTCTAATCACAAAACATTGAAAATTTGTTTCCAATAAAATATCTTCCATTCTTTGGTACCCAGTACTATTATCCACATTTAAAATATTATTTAATGCTTATAAATATTATATAAATAATCTATACTGGTGGAGGAGGTGCTTTTCGATGTATTTTGTTAGAGCTAGTAGCACTGCATTGTGATTCAGCAATAGATCTACCATCAGCCTCATCTCTTCGACATAATTCAGATTCACTTTGTATCCAATTTTGAGTTTGATTATGATTTACTCGTGTTGATTGAGTTTCTTCGTTTTCGGGAACAGAGCCTACTTCTTCCAGTAGTTTTGATAAAGATGGCGCTAATCCTAATCCTAAATTTCGCTCATGATATACCTCTGATATTGTAGGTGTTAATTCGCGCGTGAGACTTGTGAGAGATGTGGCTACATTTCTTAAATTTTGATTATGTGTTTCTGCAGGCTGCGTCGAGTCTGACTGAGAACAAATATCCTCAGTTGCTGTAGGATGACGAGGTTTCCTTGGAGAATTAGATCCAATTTCTGTTCTGACGCTTAATCTTTCTAGGATAGTTGCTGGTAAAGGTGGCAGTGGTTGTCGTCTTAAAACTGTTGCATGACCGTTATCCCAATCTGTTACCGAACTACTTGAACTAGATCCAGGTCTTATGCTTTGATCAGGATAAAGATTTCTAATATGTGTTTGGTGATTTAAGTTAAGTGCTACAGGAGGGCTAGGAGTAAAGGCAACGTCTGATTCACCTATAAAACACAAATATACATTTTTAATTTTATACCTAATATTTAAGCAAACTTAGATAGATTTTGTATGTACCTCCTCCATTTTGACATGGTTGTCGTGATGTAGGGATTGGAATATTTGGTGGTTCCATAGTTTTTCCATCTGGTTCACCTCGATGACGAACATAGTTTGCAAATGCACCTCCCAGTCGAGGCCGTTCTATGACATTCTTTTCAGTATGAGCAACAGAAGCTAAGCTTTCCATCGAGCTACTAGAGTCTAAACTCAAACTTTTAGGTGCTTCTTGCGTGTCTAATAACATATTCATGGATTAGTATATCTTACCGGTACTTTTGTTTGTATAATCAGTTTGCATAATTTATTTACCGAATAAAGCAAGAAGAGCTTGTAAAGCAAATTGAACAGCTCTTCGTGATGCTTGTTTTCCAGTTCTTAATATAACTTCTGATTGACCAACTTCCATAAGGTCAAAACCTAAACTTGCAAACAATTCATGAGATCCTGATGCTCTCCATACCTGTACTGGTAATGTAACTTCTTGACCTTCTGTTGCACAACTAGCTCTTCTCATTGCAGAAATGACATCTTCTGCAGCTTCTGGTGCCTATAAAATGTAGAGGGATTATCTTCAAACCAATACATAATATATACATTCTCATACTGCAATGAGTCAAGTGCTGTTTCTTACTTGTAATAATCGAGCAAGCGCATGCAGTGATGATGATCCCAATCCTAACAATGCTTGTAAACTTGCACTACATCTTGTTAATCTTTCTTCGGGATCACTTTGTGGGAAAAATACAGAAGATGGTATTCCGTTTCCGGCTGGTTCAAATCTAAAGCCTACAGACATTAATAGTTCTCGCCAGCCCGTAGCTGCTCCAACTTTATTTTCAATACTACGCTGAGTTGTATACATAGCATTTTTTTGCCCACGGTGTATTCGTTGTAAGGATTTTTCTACTAAATGAAGCGTTACGCGTAGAGCGTCACGACTTTGTTCAGGACCACCGCGTAGTAATTCGGCAAGCGCTTGTCCCATTAAAGCGACCTAAATAAATAATTAGTGAATTATTATGTGTACATAAATATCTCTATTGTGTTGAATTTGGATAGCTTACCTTATTTGATAATCTTGCATCTCCTCCAACAAGCAGCCAACCAGCCCAATTTGCAGGATGTGCGAAGTGTCTCGTATGCTGGACTGTTTGCATGGCTTCTGCCAATGCTCTTGATGCTCTAGCACCTTGTAACATAGCACTATAAAATGCTCGTAATAAAATACTGCCAGCTGTTGGCGGAACTGCCCACATTCCTATAAGTACACATTGTGCTCCCGCGTTTAATAAAGCCTTGGCTAAATTTTGCACACCATCTGATGTAGCAGTTGTATTTTCTGTACTGCTCCAACAGTGACCACACGATATTACGACTAAACGAGCAGCTATCCTTAATTTTGAGATGTCTGAATAACTTAGTAAATACTCTGGTCTTTCAGAAGGCTCTTCGCATTGATCAGCAGTTAATACTAAACTGCTAGAATTCCAAAACACTGGTACTGTCAAGTGCACACATTCTGCGTCAGGTAGAGATCTTAAAACAGCTGACCTAGTTGCTTCCGCCCCTATTAATAAAGATATAAGAAACATTTTATTATTAAATATCTTATTAATGTTCGCTAGTAAATTTATAGTTACCAGTTAATGCACGAGCTTCTAATAGTTCAGCAACAATCTCAGATTCCGTTTCAGTAGAAGCGACACTTTCAGACCAGCCGTATTCTTCTTTAATTTCTTCAGGAAGTACAGGATTTCCTGCAACTAATGCAGCTACTGTTGCACCACCTTCTGGCATAGGAGTTTTTGATCGTTTTCTTAAGGCTGCAAGAGATGGTACAACTAATAAAGAAAATCTTTCGCATAAATAATCTTCTCCAGGATTTGATTGTAAAGCTGGAAGTGGTGCCAAATACAGCGACTTTTCCACTACCATGATTAATTCCTTCCTTGCAGGCGGTAAAAGATCTTCGAACGGGGCTAAAAGTAGATCGTAAAGTACTTGGATCGGCAACGGTGGTTGCCATGTAGGTCCTTTCGTTCCCCGACCCCATCGTGCACTTCCTGCTCGTGAACTGACCGAGCCTACACTGAATAAACTACTCAAACTATAAGAACTAGCATTAAGATGATGTCCTCTTGATGGTATTTTCGTTTCTTCAACAAGTTCATTTGTTTCATCCAAAAGAGCTTCTCGTGCTTGCAAAACTCGTTTTTCTAATCCCATACCATCATCCAAAGTAGTAGAATGAAATCGTAACAGTCCCCGACCCGGAGCTAAACACCAAGCGTGCAATTCACATCCAACTTCACTGAAATAAAATTTCATATTTATTAACGGTTTTATAGAATTGAAGGTGTACATTGTAGATACTGTCTGTTGATAATTTTAACTTACCTATAATATAAAATAACACCGCGTTGTCTGTCAATGATTTCTGAATAATGCGCAGCATCATCCAAACAGTTACTTTTACACCGTCTTGATCTTTCTGCCCAATTTAGAGCTTCTTCAGCTCTGTTTAGACTGATCAACACTTTTTGTAACATTCTATACGTTTCTGATAGCAATTCAGACTTATTTGGTTGCCCACAAGTAAGAACCGAAGAGGTTCCGTCTAATGATTCTAATAAATTAGCCGCCTTTTCTAAATGTTCTACGGCAATTACTGCTTCACCAGCTTCCCAATGAACAAGACCAAGTCTGTGTCTCAATCTAGCTGCTTCTTCTCTTCTTCCTAATCCTTCAGACAATGATAACCCAGATTGCAAGTAACTCAAGGCTCGTGATAAATCACCACACAAATGATGAAGTCGTCCTAAACTAGAAAATGCAGCTGCTCTCGCTGGTTGATCTCCAGCTGCTGCTGCGAGGCTCAGCGATTGTTCTTGTAATCTTATAGCTTCTTCAAATTGTCCTAATGCTTCTTGGGTTACACCCAAATTTGCGCAAGCTCTAGCTTGTAATCCAGCTGCATCTAAGGCTTCAGCAATTGAAAGTTCCAATTGATGGTGACGCAATGCAGAATTTGGATCATCCATTAATAAGTGAACAGCTCCTAATCCACTAGCTGCTTCTGCTTCAGCAGCTTTATCTCCAAGTCCTCTGGCAAGAGCAAGTTGATGCGATAAACAGCTAACAGCTTGTTCGTGATTACCTAATGCGGCATGTACCCTGCCTGTAAAATTAATGTCAGCAAATTCATAACATGCGCAAAAAGTAATGTATTTAGAAGTTTGTATATGAAGTTTACCTAAATCTCCATATGCTGCGCCTCTTGACTCGGGGCTATCGACTTCGTGTGCAGCCACTAACCTCTTTTCAAAGCAAACCAGAGCTTCTTGTAAATTTCCAGTTGCTTCTCGAGCTCTGCCTAATCCTCGATATGCCCTTTCTTGTTCTCTTATACTTTTCAACTTTGTAGCAGCTGCTAATTGCTGTTCATGACATTTAATAGCTTCCTCTGGATCTCCTAAGGCTTCGTAACAGTCGCCTAGATTTCCAAGCGCTCTAGCTTTGTCTAATAAAGCTGTTCCTGTAGTTAATGGCTCTAAAGTTGCCAGTTGTTGTTCAAAATATCCAATTGCATCTTCATAATGTGCCATATTAAGTCTAGCTATCCCTAAGTTTCCTGTTTAGAAGGAAAAGTCGTTAAAACTGTAATTGTAAATTAAAATTTTTGTAGACTATAAGTAAATTTTACCTAGAGCTTGTGCTTCGACTCCTGAATCCGCTAATTCTTTCGCTCTCTCAAGTTGCTCCTGATAACATTTTACTGCATGAGTGTATTGACCCAATGCCATATGTACTGCACCTAAGTTTCCGTGAGCTCTACACTCGCCACGCAAATCTCCAGCTTCTTGCCTTAAAGTTAATTCTTGAGTATGAAATCCTAGTGCCTTATCAAGATTTTTTATTGTCCGATGCGCGATACCCAAAGCTCCGTAAGCAGCAGCTTCTAAACTCCGATCACCTGCCTGTCGCGCTAAATTTAATTGTCGTTGATGCATTTTTATTGCTTCCTCAGCTTCACCAAGACGTAAGAGACAATCACCAATATTCCCCAAAGCTCGAAATTTTCCAGCTAAATGCTTAGTCATATGCGCAATAGCTAAATATATAAAAATAATATAATATTTCCAAATCTTTTGGTTACAATTAAGATAAAAATATAATAATTTCTTACCCAAGTAATATTTTTGGCATTCTAATGCTGTGTCTAAATTTTCAAGAGCTAAATGTGCTAATCCCAAATTACAATAAGCTCTTCCCATTCCGGACTTATCCTGTAAGTCCTTAGCTAATGCCAAATCTTGATCGTAATATCTGACAGCTTCACGATGATTACCTAAACAATAATGAGCATACCCTAAGAAATGGCACGCTTTTGCTTCTCCTTCTACATCGTGTAATTCCTGGGATAACATAAGGTAATTTTCATAATATGGAACTGCTTCTTCAAATCTGCCACGAGATGACAAACAATTGGCGAGATTAAGTAAAGCACATGCTTCTCCAGCTGTATCTTTTAATTCGCGTGCTATAGCTAAATGAGCTCTATAATGCCTTAATGCTGCTTCATGTCCCTGTACAGCTTGATATGCTACTGCTAAATTCCCATGAGTACTAGCTTCTGAACTACGATCATTGACCTATATTGAAAAATTGTTTTTACAGTATAGATAAAATATCTTTATGTAGTTTAAATATAGCACTAATAATGCTTCTTATTAAATACTTTAAATAATTTACCTCTTTACTTATTGTTAATTCTTGTTTATGATATTTAATAGCTTGTTCGTAATATCCTAATGCATTATAAGCATTTCCGATGTTTCCATATGCTCTGCCCATACCAGCTTTATCTCCTAACGATCTAGCAATTCCTAAGTGAGCTTGATGCAACTTAAGTGCAGCTTCATGTTCACCAAGTAATTGATAAACTATTCCTAAGTTGCTGCATGCTCGTCCTTCTGCTACTTTATCTTTTGTAGCTAATGCAACGTCAAGTTGTCTCTGGTGCCACAGCTTGGCTTGTGCAAGATCGCCTAAATAAGGATATATTTGAAAGAAATTTTATAATAAAATTCATTTCTTCATTGGTTTCCTCATTATTTTTCGTTCCGAAAAGTTTTTCACCTGCACATCTTGCAGCATGACCCAATCCAGCATAAGCTCTCATTTCTATTGCTCTATCGCCGAGTTCTTGAGCTATTCTTAGAACATTTTCGTGATAAGCCATTGCTTGACCGAAATTTCTTCGATAGTGATGAGATGATCCCAAGTTACTAAAAGCTCTTGCTTCCTCTACACGATCCCCTAATCGTCTTGCTATTCTCAAGTGCTGGGTATGACAATCAACAGCACTTTCAAATTCTCCCATTGCTAAATAAACTGCTCCCACGTTACCTATTTCTCGTGCTTCCTGAAGTCGATCTCCCATTTGTTTTACTAACTGTACACATTGCTTATGGGAAGCAAGTGCATTTGGTAAATCACCAATAGCTGTATAAACGTGACCCAGGCTAGTTAAAGCAGAAGCTGCAGCCTGAGTGTCTTTGCACTTCATAGCTAAAACCAATTGATACCTGTGTGCTGTTAAAGCTTCCTTAAAACTGCCTTTGCTAAAATATGCAGAGCCCAGATTTCCATGAGCTCGACATTCACCCTGTGTATCTCCTAAAGATCGTGCCACACCTAAAAATATTTTTACTCAAAATTTAAAAAGACTAATTAAAAAAAAGTTTATTATTTTATTCATTTTCAAACTAATACTTACCTAAATCCTGTTGCATATAATTGATAGCTTTGTCCAAAGAATTTAATGCCCAATATGCACTAGATAAAGCAGAAAATACAGAACCCCTTAATTTTAAACTACAAGAACCAATATTAAGTGCAGCTTCTAATACACCAGCTGCTGCTTTATACTGCCCTGCTCCAAGAAGTTCTTGACCAACAACAGAAATAACAACAAAAGGAGATTCATCAAGTTTCATTGCACGTAATTGTTGAAATGTTGGTTCTAATGTTGAACGTAGTGGAGATTTTAAAGATGCTTCTACCAAACCAGATAATAATTGACAATTAGAAGGATCATGTGCTAGACCTGTACTGAAGGCCACAAGGGCCTCCCCATGTCTCCCTAAACATTGTAATGCTACTCCTTGACGATAATATGCCTATCAAAAAAAGTTTCATTAATTATTTAAAGAATAATAAACAAAATGCATAATTCTACCTTTGGCCATTGAGGACTGAGTTCAGTAGCTCTAACAGCATCTTGAAGAGCAACTGCGAATAAACCCATTTTGAGCCGAGCAGCTGACCTATTTGAATACAGCACATGGCTGAGTGGGTCCAAAGCAAGAGCTTCTGTGTACAAGCTTGCTGCAAGCGCATAATCACCGTTTTGACATGCTGCATTGCTACGGCGTACTGTTTCTAAGAATAGAGATCTTGATCCAGCAGCCAAGGCCGACGTACCTTCGGGTTCCACCTTAAACATTTATAACAAATTACCACTTTAAATTATCATTTATAATTTCATTTATCATACTGTTAATCATGAAATTAAGTAATCAATTTTGATTTATAATATTATTTATTGTAAAATAATTAAATTACATCAAATGATAGACATGATCTACATTAAAAATATAAGATCTTTGTCATTTACTATTTTAATTAACTGATTAAAATAATATTGTCACAAATTTATATTAATTATTATTACAAATGAACATAATACACATTGCAATATGTATTAAGTATAATTATAAAAACACAATTTATTATTAAGCTTGAAAATATCAAGTCAAGTTTCATAACAAATGACAAAATAAAATGCACAAAAGTCTATAAAATCAAATAATTTTTATTATAAAACACAAAATGGATAGTACTCGTCGAGACATATACTGTAAAGGACCGTGTTGTTACCTCAGAGATATCCCTATGAGACATTGCTTAAGACGAGCAGGTAGCATCCTCCTGCATGAGCATTATCTGCGGCGAGGAAGCACCATTAGATAAGGCCACGCATTTTAGAGTATAGGTCCTTTCTAGGACTTCCCGCAATACCTTCTTTTTTCTCACTCACATTTATTCTCCGCAAAGTGCTACTTTCAAATTTTTACGACACTCACCGGATAGACGTTGACATTAACTACTTCGTCCTAGTAATCGGAGTATTTGCTAGGATAAGTGAATTGGTTCGATTAATAAAAAGGGAGGGAGGAAAGCGTCGTAGGGGGGCACCCACTGCATTCCTCAGGTACAGCCATCTTGGAATGTGACCCCGGGTCCCCCCTTAAGGCCCAGAGTGGGGCCGGCACTGTCTACTTCTGTACCCTTCTCATATTGGGTTTCATATATGTACCTACACACACCGTAAGTCTATGTTCTGTGTAAAAATATGTATGCACAGAAATGAGACTGTTGCGTATACAAATCAGACATCCAGAATTTTGTTGATTTTTTGTTTCTTAGTCCAATTTTTTGAATTATTTTTGTAACCGATGTATTGCTTTAATTACAATTGTTTCATGCATAGTGTTTTACAAAGCAAAATACATTATTTTTTTATAATAATTCAATACTTGTATACCTATATAATTTCCAATAGAACTTTACTTACTATAATACTTGAGTCAATCTATATTACGTAATATAATAGATTAATTTTAAAAATTAGAACTAGTAATCATATCCTTCATATACATTAAAAATATATTTTATTGTTCCATATGTCACAATTATTTACATTCATAAAAAATAACAAAATCACTTATTTTATTCACAGATATGTACAAAAATGTAAATTGCTTTCCATGTACAGAGTTTCAATTGTAGTATTAAAAAATTATTATGTTTCTAAAAATACTATTCCCTTTGTATATAAAATGTTATGGGCAGGAATAGTTTTCTTTAATTGAAGTAATAAAATAGACATTCTACATTTGTTATGTGATTATGAGATTTCTATTTTGAAGGAACTTTTATAAAACTATTTCAATGTCACAGCCGCTACAATAAAATGTTAACGTTCGATTAATTTTGGAATAAATTACAATATCTGAGCGAAGATTATCATATTTAAAGCAGTGTATATGTATCTGTAAACTGTTTTAGTTAATGGCATTTGTATTATGTAGATCAGGCATGTCCAAACGAATGTCTAGAGCTTAAGCGCCTTCCTTCACGCTCTGTTCCATTAACATGATACCACAGGCCGACTGATATCGTGTTATATGATACACGTTCAATGCGAACATTAGCGTATCGTCTTTTGCATTATAAGTGAAATTTCAGTAGAAATAGGACCACAAGGTAACATAACAACGGTATATGGAAAGGGAACGAGTCGCGTGAGGGACTCTAACGATAGACGTGCCTGGTTAGATGACTGTCAATAAGTTTTTAGTAACCAATAAGCTTTTAAACCTCCGTTTTTACTACCTATATTTATTTCATTTGAACTTTGTTAATATGTATATGATAATCATTGAAAAAAAATTCATAAAAATATCAATCTATTTCCCCTCGAACAGGTCAATAAACATTTTATTTTGTACTAAACTGTACACCATTATTTCTTGAAATAAATGATATACAAAACTTATGCATATCATGTACATGTATAGGAATGTTAAGTATTTAATAATATTTTAAACTACATTAGAAAACTGATGGAACACCGTTGAAAAAAAGCAATATCTTCAGATAGAATTGAAATCACTATAAATTAAATACACTTTAGAATTTCCCTCTAACAAATAAATTGTACATTAAATAAAAAAAGATGTATACATATGTATATATATATATACGTATGTATGTGTGTATATATATAACGGAATTTGCACATAATGCAACTGTAGCTTTCAGTGTTGTGACTAATTACTACCAAAAACGGTAGTTTTACTTTGAAAAAACATGTTTTATTTTAATTTTCGTTGATTAAATTATGTATCATAATAACATACTTATGAATCGCATTTAAAGTAAAAACGTTTCTAAAAAAGTATTGCTATAAATATATTGTACAATTACAAAATGTATTTAATTATGAAAGCTACATTTGCACTATTATTATGGAATATATGTATGGAGTATATTATACAAATTTAACCATTTTCAAGGCCAGAATCGATTGAAAAGTTCCATGAAGGAATCATAGATCATAAATGTGATGGCAACGTCTAAACATACTCTACTTAGTCTTGGAACAGTTCCTTTATAAAATGCACTTGGGCCTTCATTCTTCCATATCTGAACCACGCAGTCTATACTATTTTTGTATTTCGAGGCCTCTAGACCCTAAAAACATATTCAAATTAATAATCCATACTTGTAAAAAAGTCATAATTTTATGAAAGTTCTGAAATTCATACCTGCATTCTAGTTTTTACTACATCAATAGGAGTGTTTCCAAAAACTGATAATGCGCCAGCACATGCACCGAATGCACCAATAAATAATTTTGGTATAACTACATCTTTGTCTCCACCTCTATACCAGTTTTGTAATGTGTTCATAACACAAAACCTAATTGCTTGATTTGATCCTTGTTTCAAAATTGTAGGTGTTAATCCTTGATATATACCTCTAAATCCTAAATAAAGAAAATTGTATATGTAAACAATATTTGTGTTTAAGTTTACAAGCCACCTTGATAACTCATTTATTTTTAAAAATAGAAAAGAATGTTTGAGATAGAAGTTCTTTGATTTTTTAGAGGATATAGAATGGTGGTAGTCTTCTAGAAGTGGAATATTTGAAGATCACTTTTCTTCTTTAATAGAACAACCTAGTTTTTTATTTCTTTTACAAGCTTTTATTAGAAGATAAATAAAATGTATAGTTTCATTAAAGAAAAAAAAATGATTTGAAATGTCTGATGCTTACATTTGGAATAAAAAAGATGTTACCACAGTATATCCCCTATGAAATCAAATAACTTCCATCTCAAACATATTTTTCTATCTTTAAAAGCAAAATGGATTATCCAGGTACTCTGTCTTAAATATTTGGTTAAATACAGTCACAAATATACAACATAATATGACTGAATATTATAGGCACTAATGTACTACATGGTCACGTGTGTAACCTGAGAACTATGCAATATAACTTGACCTCTTTTCAAAGATGATTAGGTTGGTTATGCATACAGTTCAAGACAAGTTCATTACATTTGTATTTAGACTAAAAGAAAATGACTAAATTTTTTAGTTTTCTTTGATACTATTGTATTGAAGTTTTAATAAAATTATTATTAAAGATATTAAACAAAAAGTTATTTACCATATTCCTTAACAATCATTCTTACTCCATGTAAGAAACCTTTATATTTTGGATTAGCAGATCGTTGGTCATTAATGAATTTTACTTTAATGGCCTCCATAGGAGTAACTGCAAGAATAGCTTCAGATACACCAGCACACATTCCTGCTAATAAGCTAGTACTAGTATTAAGTTTGCCATTTTCATCTACCAATACTCCTTTTATTGTTTCAAAAGAACCAAAACGTACTGCTGATTTAGGTATTGAACCATAAACTAATACTGAAAGGCCTTTGTATAGGCCAAAAAATCCATGATTTTTTACAGTTTTTGTCAAACAATTCCATACTCCAGTATATTGTTTACTAGCACCAGATTTTCCATCAAGTTGTAATTGTGTTTTTACATATTCAGTTGGATATGTAATACATATTTCTATGCCACCAGTTATACCTCCTAAGAAGTAAATTCATAATGTGGTTAATATTTTAGTCTATTGATAGTAAAAAATGTTTTAAATAATTGCAAATAAATAAGTTTCATTGAAAATTAATATTCTTCTATGTATTTAAACGAGAAATATGTAAAACCGTTTCACTCATGAATGACGATACACGTGCCATGAAATTAAGAATAGTTTTACTACATATTGTCAAGGTTAAATATTTTTCAACCTTTGAAACTATCACGCGTTTGAATGCGCTGGCTCAAAGTTTATCTTTCTCTTTCTCTCCTTTGCCTCTATTCGTTCGCATGTCTCTCGCACTCTCACTTAACATGTTTACATTTTATTGGTCTTTTTCGGCAAGTGGCAAAGGGCACTGAGCACACATCATTAAGAGGCAGAAGACTGTTCAAGAAATATTATGTGTATATATATAAAAAAAAAAGCCTACCAGCTATAATTCCCTTTAAGCCACCGCCAGTAACCGCTGCTGCAGCTCCGGTGTCCGTCAACCAAGGTCTACTGGGAAAAGGATTATGGAACAATGAAATTGTTCTTGGCTCTTGTAACGATTTATAGATTAACCAACTGAAATCCATTTTCCAGATTCGTTTCCGTTTGTCCGTAGCCTTATCCCGTTAAACGTCAAACCTGGACTGAGTCGATTAATAATTGTACGTTTCGATGCGCGTAGCAATGTTCCCCTTCCTTAAAGAACTTCTTTTACTCGCGCTTTATACGTTATCTCGCAAATTATGTTTCATATCAAAGAATTGAAAGAATCAAAGGGCCGATAACGGGTGGGGTAAATGAGGTCTTCGACATCTTTTTACATGATATAATCAATGGTTCGTCTGTTTTACGAATTTTATATACTTATCACAAAATTCTATTTCTTTAATGATTTGTGTGCCTCATATGTATATACATGTATAATTTTTTTATATTAATTCTTTTCACTTAATTATAACAATCTTTTCTGTTAAATACTTTAAATAAAACGTCTTTTCTACTTACTAATGTTACTTATGATCCTTATTTTTATTATTCATTTTATTCAACTCACATATATAAAATACTATGAATTTTAAAGCAATTAACACAAATCAGATTCAAGTGTATAATTAACATTTTTATTCAAGAAATGAAACTTTAAATCGTATAATTTCTAAGGAGATTGGAATGTCTTGTAACAAAATATTTTGTTTAATATACGATTATTAATCCGTGAATTATTATTTAACATTATATTTTATGGTAAAACTAATTAAGGTTCAATGATTAGGTAAAAATAAAGTGGATGTAAAATTAAAATTGATATATAATCTATTTACTCACATAGTAAATATTGTATTAAAATTTATAAAAATCGATGAGAACTTTCTAGGTCAATTTGTTTTTAATTTAACAGTCCGAAATTGGTAGAATATTTTTAATTTCTCTTCGCCATTGTAAATATTTCTTCATAATAATTATGATATGACTTACATTTCATGAACAGTTGAAGTATGGCATACTATCAGGAACGTTTTTATTTTTTGTGTTATGTAACAGTAATAATGAATACAGCCATGTGTAATAAAAAACATGGAAACAGAGAGTGACTATAATGAGATAACAAATGTTTGAATGGCAGACCATAAATCATAGATATATTTTTACATTAATTTGTTGTATCGTACTTCTGGTAAATATGCAAATACTTGCATATCTGAATGCATTTTATTTACTGTCTAAAATTTAGCATAAAAGTGTTGTTACATTTATGGTTTAAGAAAATTAAAATATGGACAAAGTGAACGTTCCCTGAGCAATTCTATTCAATTACATATAGCAGGGCCGACGAATTTTTTATTCGCCGTGGACCGCATGAATTTCATTCCGAGTTAGTCAGATCTCTCACTATCAGCATGTTAACTACCACTTGCTGCATTTACTTTCTTTTAGAATTTGAAGGGAGTAATGGTATGATAGGAGTCAAACGATTGTAGCGGTGTTTGCTTTTCTATAAAGTAGGAGTAAGGGCTAATATCGGCTCGTGGGCCGCCAGTTCCTCACCCCTGACGTATAGGATGCCATATTCTGTTATTGTTACCATTTTAATTTATCATTGCAATTTACATGTTTTACCATCCTGGTGTAGTATTTGCTAAACGTCTCATACGCCTGAAATAAAACACAGACATTGCGATTAACTGTTCACTTTTTGCATACGATCGCGTAATATAGTAATCATTACCGCGTATTTCGATCCTGGTCGCGTATTTTCTTCTCCATTTCTGCATCTGTTAATGTTTCTAAAAACGGTGCCCATTGATCAGCTTCTGAGGGTGGCCTAAAAGGTACTTCCACTGTAGGCAGAGGGGCTTCAGAAAACGCATATGTTCTTTGATGCCATGATAGTTGTCCGCGAACACTAAAAATCATTTTGATTTATATTAAATTACTTACAAGTAATCTATATAAAAATATATAAATGTAAATTATTCACACTTACCTATAAGCAATCGCAGTAACAAATTCTCCACCAAGACCCAACTCAGCACACAGTTTCATTGCAAATTTTTCAGGATTATTTTCTTTTTCAGACATATCCCATTCTACTTGATCTACTAAAGATGTATTACCCACATGTATATTTAACTTAATAATAACTCTTTGATCGCATTGATCTTCTAGAATGGTTTCTTGTGGGAAGGCTTCTATTTGTTGTCTTATAGCTTGTGCAATAGCTGGCACAAATGTTAATGGATTTAAATCTAAATCGTCACATAAAACTTCAGCAAATTGTTCTGGTGTTATAAGGCTTTCTGTAAGTAAAATTACTTTATTAATGTGTGTGACACACTACTATAGTTATTTTTTAATGTATAAATTACATTACACAAGTAAACATACCATTTTTATTCCATGTAAAAGTATCTCTCAACTTTTGTCCCTCAATCTCCATATCTAAACGAATTGGAACCAGCATCTCCTGTTGAGCTGCATTTTCTAAATTTGCTGATGGATCTGTATCGTCGAAACTAGGAAAATGTTTTGTATTCACATATACAATTTTACATTAATTTTACATTCATTATTATCTAAGATAAAAACTTAATTACACATATTTTTCATATGTGCAATGCAAGCTTTTATTGTGTCAAAAATCATATTTGAATATCATTTCCCATATAAAATATAAAAAAATAAATTTGTTATAAATGTGCATGTTACATTAAATATTAATTTAACAATCTGTAGAATGTAACACTTACCACAAGGGAAATGTTCTGACTTTCTTATTATGTACTCTATTACGATTAATAGGTGTGGCTTGAGGCACAGCATCTAGGTGTGAACTATTTGGTAAACTAGGCACCCAAGGCATTGATTTTTTTGATTTTCCTTCTCTAGGGGCTGGAGGTTCTGTTGAATGTACTGATACAGCTTTATATTTATCATCATTGCCTTCAATAATATCTTCTACTTCACTAGCTCTTAAAAGTGATACACTAGATGCAAGTACATGTTGGCTTAATCCAAGTTCTACTAGCTTTTTACGCTCATCATTTGTAATGGATCTCCTGAACATTCCAGGATAACGTTTGTATAATGATCCTCGAAATAGGCGTAAATAATTGCCCACTTCAGATCCAATACAATAGTACTCTCCATTTTCTTCTACTTGAAAACTTATAGGTTTATCACCATATGTGCGCAAAGCCATATTTATGGTATCTAAACAAACATATACAATTCACACATAATGCAAATATTTAAAAATTGGTACATAAGAAACAAAATATTTGAAAAAATCAAAGTTAGGCAAACAAAAGATTAATTTCATAAACAATTAAAATATAATTTTCCTTCTGACTAAAAACCATTGTCATATTATTACATTATAATAATTTTCAATGATTATTTTTCTACATTTTTTTAATTATTGTAAAAAATATAAAAATTATAGTAAATTAAACAACATTGAAAATGGTTAAATAAGTTTTTTTTATAAAAGTTATAGAATGTACAAGTTTATAACCACACATCGAATAATTCAAAATATTGTATTGTTTATCATCACTATTATTGTTTACATGTTGTATTGTTTACCTATCTGTGTTGCCGGTTGCTTATCACTTTACATCTGTCATACATTTATTAATTATTGGCATAAATGCAGCATAAAGCATTGAATGTATTGCTTTTGTGATTGGTAATCTATAATACACTATTTTTTGTTAAAGTATACTTATGTAAGGGATATAAACTCACCTCAAAGAACAAACGACCAATCGTTTAAATATTTTGGTCAATTGTTGCGTCGGTTTCGTTAAAATAACAATAAAAATCTTAAAGGTATGTTTTAAAGATAACTACAGATAACTATCAGCACAGCCGACTCCAGTACTAACCATGCTGAACGAAAAACAGTAAAACTGTAAGAGTCTGATTTTGTATTTAATAGAAAGAGTACACAGCATTTGTGTGTCTCTGTCTATCTAGTGCAAAATCAGACTCTTGCAGGATAGCTCGTATTTACTAGAGTCGGCTGTGCTATCAGCATTGAATGTATTGTATCCGGCTAATCTGGCGCCAAAACTTTGATCTGTTTTCAATGCTACGTCGAGTTGTTAAATAATTCCTATACAGTAATTTATAATTAAAAAGAAGTGTATGATGATTAAATTTATTTACTCCTTTTATACCGAATATATTAACATTTTTAAAAAAATATCCACATTTCTGTTATGACGTAAACATCCCTAGGAAATCATGCGTATGTTACTGTCTTTCCCTAACAATTATTCTGGAATGTGGTTACAAGACAGAGGGGGTGGGGAATAATAAACGTTAGGCGTGTCGGCGTCTGTTTTTTAATACGTTAATAGAAAATTGCATTAAAAAAGACAACCTTGTCATAATATTTATTTTGTGGATGGTACAAATTCGATTTTTCGAGAAACTCACTGCGTATTTTAAGATGTCGGAGGTGCAAAAAATTGTATGCACAGAGAATGCTCTTAAGATTCTTTATCCATAGCGTACTATTTTATAATTCGACAGTTTCAATTTTACAATTGTGATATAGTACTACGTATATGTGGCTGGCGTTCGGTTACGAGTGGAAGAGGGTATGTTCTTATGGGGTAGTAGGAAGGCGGTAGCCTTTGCCGGGGAATGGAGACGGAGAGTGTAAAATCGGGGGCTAGCGAGCATAGCCATAGCCATCATAGCAGGACTTCTCAAAAACACCATCGGACTCATAGTTCGAAATCTCATCACAGACAACATTCGCATCGAAGTACCCGGTATTTTGATCTATTTAAAACTGCATTACTTAAAGCATGTTCAATACAGTGTCATTTATACAATTATAATATTTGTGGATGAATTTTTTGTCCTCTTAATATGAATATCTTTTTAAAAGGACCAGTCGTAGTCAGAGGAAAGAGAGGCATAATTTGGATACTAGCGAGATGGCTCCCTTTCAAACAACTGTTAATGTAAGAGGCGATAGTGTTGATAATTTGGGTCAAGAAGTTATTGAAGTACAGATCTTGCCTCAGGATGAAAATTGGGGTGAAAATACCACAGCTGTTACTGGAAATACTTCCGATAGATCGGAGTCAACTGAAGATGTGAGCCATTGGCCAAATGAAAATGATGGATCATTTAGTTCCTGTAATCGGTTTGTGGGTCCTGTTATAGCAATGATAATCGGACTAAGCGCCTTTCTTAGCCCTATAGCTATGGTCATACTGCCTAAATTAGGATTTTTTCCTGACTCTACAACAGTTTTAACAATGCAACAAAAACTACAGTTGTTGTCGTGTAATGCAGAATGCAAAGGCCAATTGCTAGGTTTAGCCTTTAAACTGGTGCTACTAGGTATTGGGAGTTGGGCTGTGTTTTTACGTTCACGAAATGCTACTATGCCTCGTATATTTTTATTCAGAACTGGAGTGTTACTTCTTACTACATTGTGCATTAGTACTTATTGGCTATTTTATGTTGTTCAGGTATATGATTTTATTAAGTATTCTGACACTGTTCATTAATCACGATATACATATATGGAACATTATCATAAATTTTAGGTCACTGAGAGTGCTAAGACTGCTGCTAATGGTGAAATAACAGAGTACAAAAATTTAGTAAATTATGCTGGTACTCTTGCAGATACTCTATTGTTCATACATTATATTGCTATATTACTCATTGAAATCCGTCATCAACAACCTGTGTTTTATCTGAAAGTATATATATTTAAGTTTTGTATTGTATTTTATATTTTCCCTAATTATTATAATAATTACATGTTAATATTTAAGGTTGTAAGATCACCGGATGGTGAATCGCGATCTTACGCAATTGGACAATTGTCGATACAACGGGCAGCAGTATGGGTTTTAGAGAGGTATTATACAGAATTTCCTATCTATAATCCGTACTTGGAAAGACTGCCTGTATCAAAGTCTGGTAGAAAACAATCGAGCTTCAAATTTTACGAAGTTGATGGAGGAGTAACAAGTGGCGTTCAATCACGAGGAGGTAGCGGTGATAGAGCAGTTATAACTACGCAAACTCGTCGTAGGGATTCTAGCCATAATGAACGTTTTTATGAAGAACATGATTACGAACGTAGAGTAAGAAAGCGCAGAGCGAGATTAATCACTGCTGCCGAAGAAGCATTTGCACACATTAAACGTTTACATTCAGAAGTGGAATCAACTCCAAATCCTGGTCCCATGGATCCTATGGAAGCTGCACAAGCAGTATTTCCGTCTATGGCAAGAGCACTACAAAAGTATCTGAGAGTGACACGACAACAACCGCGTCATTCTGTTGAATCTATTTTAAATCGATTAGCACGGTGTTTGGCACAAGACGCAGCGCCACGTGCATTTTTGGAACCCTTTTTTGTAACTAGCCCTGTTCTTTCAAATGAGAAGGAGAGACAAAAACATTCGCATCATTGGGCCTTAGTCTGCGAGGGAGAATTACCTTCACGATCTCTTGCTAACGGTTGCGAATTTCAATTAAGGCAAGGTGAAGTAGCCCTTTTATGTACAGCATACCATTTACCACATTTCCATCTTACAGAACAACTTGCACATCCGAAATCTAATAAATTCCTATTAAGATTAAATTCTGAAACATCGGTCTAGTAACGCTTTAAAATAATTACAAATTTTCAAGATAATTTGCGATTAGGTATTTATAGTTTTAATGAATGTAAAACTCATTAAAAACGAGTAGTTTTTTACTGTATATAATTAAAAGAACTCCACAATAATAAATTTGTAAGTATTGTGAATTGAATATAATTATAGCAAGCAAATACATTGAAGCATATAGTATATATTGCATACAATAATGACAAAATTTTTTTAGAGTATATTTTCAGATGAATAGTAATTTTGCAAATAGCAAAATAGTTTTCTATGCGCTATCATAAAAATGTTCACATTAATGAAATTATTTATAGCTTTTTTGTTGCTATAAATAATTGGAGGATAAAAGACAATATAATTTTTACATTTGTAATTTCAGATAAAACGTTCAATTTTTCATATCATAAACGCATATATATTTATTTATTTCATTATTTTGCATATCATTCATAGAGAATCAAAATAAGTTTTTGATATTTTATATAAATTTTGCCTAATAGAAATCAAAACTAATATCTTAGTTTTTAGTAGATGTATAATAATTGAAGGATATTTCATTATTCTTGAATAGAATACTTTTGTTTTAATTAAAAACGTACAAAGCTACAATACTGTTATAAACATTAAGCAAATACATAAAATTATAGTCGAAACAATAGTGTTCTGAAAGTGCATTGAAACTATAAACATTAACACAATACTTATTATGCGTTTAATATTTGTAGGCATTCATCACAAAATATTTTTTTTATTTATTTAATTCCATTATGACAAGAATTTTTACAAATGTAGGGGAAAAATGTCAAAGCGAAATATTCTAAATAGGGAAAAATGTACATTCCTGTAATGTATTTATATAATGTTCTGTTTGTGAATATAATTATGCATTTATAAATCCTGCACATTAGACATGTGACATCTGTATTTTTAGATACAGTACAAAGATTCAAAGTTTCTTCCATGACATCTTATTAAGGTTTTTTCTAATATTTTTACGCATTTGAAGCTGAAGTTATTTTGTAATTAAAATTTTGTACAATTTATACATTTGGTTATGTTTAATATTATTTGTAATAATTAATAATTTTACAATTATTAAGAAAATATTTCAAGTACTTAAGGAATGTCCGTTAGTTTTAAAATATATGAAAAGCTCGCAGTTGTGATAAACAAATAAAATTTTAAACATTTGTTTACACAAATTTACATTCTCAAAATTTTCAACTACATGTTTAAAAAAATATGTGTAATTTACCGTAATAGACTATGATGATCATAACATATTTTCCTGTTATAAGGAAAAACATTAACAAATACTGAAAGTATTTTTCTTTGAAACATTTGATAAATTTGTTCCTTTTGTTTTATTATACTAATACTCTGACGTATGCCTGTTATGATTAGGTATTAATTTGCTCATTTCCATTATTGGACACCATACCATAGTCATTATATGTACCTCTTAAAAGTATTTGAATGTTTTACATTGTTCATAATGTAAAACAATCAATGTAATTTTATACATTCAATCATATTGAGTGTGCCGATATTACTCAATGTAACTACTGACATTATGTTATCCTTAATGTATGTCTTTTGTATTGAATTGTTATTATTTTACAACACATCACTTTACAAGGCTGATAGTATGTTACTGTATTTGTGACTAGGCTTGCTTGAGATATATGTACAGTAAATAATTAGAATACTATCCTACATTCACATTGAAATATGTACATATGATATGTATATCATATAAATGTATAATTAGGAGATCATTGTAGCAGTGGACTTGTTATGCAAAAAAGTTTTAGTGTGATAGTATTCATTTACTGCATTCTTGTTCGTTACTTCAATTTGGATACTAAAAATTAAAATAATTAAATATGAAAAGTGCAAATTTATACATGCCTAAGAAGTATTTAACATATCACAATTTAGTAATAAAAGAATGTATATCGCTTGCCTCTGCTCATAAATTATATTATTTAAGATTGTAGTAAGTTAAACATACTTAGGTCGAATAATATAAACATTGGTTTATATAATTTTCCATTCTTACAAGTATGCAATGTTACTGTTGTGTGTAGCTATCTACAAACTTTTTATTTATGTGTGAGTATGATGAATGTATTAATTGGTAAACAAAATATACATTTAATGTATAAATATTAATTTTCTGATATACTTCTTTTGGATATGGTGTACTGCATACTTTATATTCTATGTAGAATATGTTAACGACTTAATTTCGTAACTTATTATCGTACTTTGTATAGATTCATACGCACAAATAGAATTTTAATAGCATAGGATGAAACGTAAAGAATAAAGAAATAAAATTGTTATTTCAAATTTTATTTATAAATATTAAATCGCTTTACAAAAAAGTATTCGAGTGTAAGGTGTGTGTTTATAATAATACATAAAATGTAAGAAACGTGATATTTTTTTCCCATATTTCATTTATATGTCCCTTTTCAAAAATAGCTTTTCTATATAAACTGAAAATGTAGTTTATTTCTATTGTAACGATATTGATTAAACTTAAAATTCGTATCTTTTTATAATATAAAAATATTTTAATCCAAATTAAACGTAGTCTATTTAACTCGTAGTATAATAATAATCCCTTTCCTATGACGACACATCGAAGAGTGTCGTTCATATAGAATATACAGATGGTGTTCGAAAGCATCATTTAACTTAATTAACATATAAATAATGCTCGGATAACTGTGCAGATTTTATTTCTAAATCATCCTTAATACTATTTCTGTTTTTTTAGTTCAAGCGCCTAACATTTGTGCAAACAAAAATCTGGTTAGCTACGAATAATTAAAATTAATCCGAATACGGTCTGGTTTAAATTTATTTTTATTGATAATCATCAAAATCTTACGACTCCGCTGTTAATATTTTCATATAGGATGCATTGACAATATACAAATTTGTAATTTGCAGTACTAGTTTTTTCTGCTCTGGAAAATGCTACATTTTCTGGCGGCAGAGAAAACAAAAGGAGTTTAGAAAAAACGCTACGTGCAATAACACCAAAGGACTTAGCTACAGTTAACTTATTTAAAATAATTTTAGTAACGCATTTATTAGCATTTACTTTGAGCACAAGCGGCATTTGAACTTTGAATAATTTTTTGGCTGATGGCGTTCTTGTATTTGCTTATGCCTATGACGTCACAGTAACTTTGCTCCTGATCAGTGTGGCCAGATCAGGTATAATTGAGTGCATCGCCGTTGACATTAGTAACGATGAACTTAGCGTCTAACGGGGTGGTGGGGAAAGCAGACATATCTTACCGCTTACCGCACGAGCCACATGTTACGTTAGATCAGCACTTTATGCAACTTCGGGAAATCGATCAAGAATGTGAACGGGAGCCTTACCTCCTTGCTCTTGAACAGCTGAATTCCGTCCTCGCGTCAATGGCATACAATTTTGAATCATGACTGCCCAGGCATTTTTACGTTTTTTATATTTTTAATAACAAACGGTTACAAATGGTTCTTACCGTATTTATTTTTATTTTCTGATAATAATTCTTATTTTAATTTTAAAACACTCTGGCGAGAAGCGTCACTCGGGTGCGAAGGGTTAATTTCTTAAAAACTCCGAGATTTTATTCCTTCTTCCTCGGAAACAGCGAATACAAATAATTAATAAATTCGATTTAGTAATTTACTTACTAATTACGTAATAATTAACGAATTAGGTAACAGTTACAGTGGTAGTATTTTTAATTATTTGTATTCGTTCCTCGATGTATCTTCAACGCGTATCTTGCTACCTACCCGGCGCGGTGGCTCTCCGAGTTCGGACGGCCCTGAGCGCGCGGAAGGCGCGCGCCGTGAGTGGTCAGTGTTTTTCGTTAATAATTCAAAAACGAAGCCTCATCCGACATTTTTGCAAAGGAAATTGTTGTTCAGAATCGTTTCAGCTACCCCACATTTCCGGTTCTTACATTATTCACGGAACACCCTGTATAGCTCGAAACGTAAAAATGCCTGGGCAGTCGAGATTTGAAATTGTATGCCGCGAAGGCGGGCTTCAGCTATTCAAGAGCAAGAAGGAAAGGCTCCCGTTCACGTTCTTTATCGACTTCCCGAAGTTGCATGAAATGTTGACCGGACGTAACATGAGGTTGGAGTTTTCCCCACCACTCCGTTAGACGCTAAGGAAGTTCATCGTTACTAATGTCGACGTCGATGCATTCAATTATACCCGATCTGGCCACACTGGGCCACAGTGCTTCCGATGGTTACAACCGCACCTAGATGCAACGTCTAATTTTATCATGTGCGATCATTGTCACTTTCACATTGTTTATAACCTTATCTGCTGTTAAATTAGTGGGAATGATACATTATATGTAACATAGAATTTACATATTTGTTGTGTGTAGATATCGAAATTATTAGTATATTTGCAGCAACATGTCGTTAACTATTGAAAAACAAATTGAATTGTTATTAGCTGGAAATCCTTTAGAAATTGATGACACGCACGAAGCTAGCCACGCTGCATCGAATGACATACTAGGTAAAAATATATGTATTTTCTATATGTATTCATAATCTTGATTAAGAAAAATTATTCTTTTGTAAATATTTTGAAATATTTAAACTTTAATAAAAGTCTATATTGCACAGTATTGTCAAAACTGCAAGTAAATTTAAAAAATATGTTAGAAGTCATACTGTATGTAGTTATTAATTATTCATACATTTGTTGTAATACAGTTATGTTCATTCTTCCTATTTCGTTTTTTTTATAATGAAATTTTATCATCGATGGTTTGTAAAAAAAATTTATACATATATTATAGGTACAAAAGGAGTCCAACCATTATCTAATTATGTACCCATTTGCCAAAAAACTGTAACATATATTGTTGCTGCTGTTGTCATAAATGATCAGGACAAAGTATTAATGATGCAAGAAGCAAAAGCTTCTTGTAATGGAAAGTGGTATTTACCAGCTGGTAGAGTAGAACCCAATGAAAATTTAATAGATGCTGTTAAAAGAGAAGTTTTAGAGGAAACAGGTCTTATATTGGCACCGGAAACATTGATAGTAGTTGAATGTGCAACCGGTTCATGGTTTCGATTTGTTTTTACGGGCAAAATAACTGGTGGTAAATTAAAAACATTAGAAGAAGCAAATGAAGAATCATTGCAAGCATGCTGGGTGCATAATGTAAATGATCTTACACTTAGATCGAATGATATTATTTCTTTAATAGAAAGAGGCAAATATTATGTTACAAACAAGGATATTTTGCACCATCCACATTTAATTCCAGTTAATAAATCATTGTGCAAACTTATGTTGCGGCTTACAATTACTTCAAAGAAAAGGGCAACGTAAGTTGAATATATTTGAAGTAATTCTTATTAAAATTTTATATTATATTCAAATTTTAAGTTTATTTTTATAAATGTATTGCTGCTTATGCTTGATTTTCCTTTAGTACTTGTGCTTTCAGTATCAGGTCACTGGTGGTAGTTTTCATAACAGAACAATGACAATCTAATCATGACTGTGACTATGGATGAAGGCTTAGGTTACTAGGAGTATACTAGGTACACATGCACACATATGCACCTGTACATATACATTTATAACAAAGGTTTTATTTTCTTATATATTTTCCTTTTCTTCAAAACTTTTAGTACTAACATTTACAAATCTTTTTTTAAACATTAATTTTTATTTATATTTTTATATTATTTTATACTGCAATAATATTTTGTGCTACATTACTATAACTTATAATGTACTTTTTAAACTATGTGCTTCTTAGCATTCTATCTAAAATTTGATCATGTAATATGCATAGTTCTCTAAATGTTATGTTCAAAATTTTATAATAAAAAGTGCTAACAATTTATCTTTGTGTTAACAATTTTATACAAAGTACTTACATAATTAATGTATATCAAAAATTTTATGGTATACTTTATCGACAGGAATCAATTACATGTTGTGATATCAGATACAACACCATTTCATTTGCCAATTTGTGAAATTAATCCAAATCGTAGTCTTCTCTCTACCCTACATAACTTTATGGAGGTGAGTTATTATTTTGTATACAAAGTTATATTATACACTCCTATTATAATATGATAAACAAAAATGTTCATGTATTTTCTTTCTAGAAAATGATGTTATTACAATATAATTGTACATAATAATACTTATTTTAGGAACTATTTGGTAGTGGAGTTCCACAGCATAGACCACATGGCATATTGTCTATAGAATTCAGTGGGGGTGAAGGAGGAGATGGACTTTGTGTAACATTATTAATATCATTCAAGCTGCCTGTAGAAGATATACCTACTATTGGAAAATACATTTGGTATGAATTACCTGAAAATATAGCTGAAAGTATAACTCATCGTCTGCCGCGAAACATGACCGTGCCTTTAAGCGTCATACGGTAATTTAATATGCGTACATTAATTGCACATCATAAGCATTTCAAATTTTACATATAAATTTTTGCTCAAAATATATGGTCGATTAAGTGCTAAATTTTTCTTTACATCCAAAATTGAAAATTGTTTAGTAGAATCAAGATACTATAAGCTGAAATACAAGACAGTAGTACCTTAAAGTTTCAGAGATTATTTCCATAATATTCATATATATAAATTATTGCATATATTACTATAAATCCATATTAAATTTGATTTACATAACCCAGATATATCTAACCAATATTAATACTCAACAATGACAATTTATACAAATTTTCATTATTATGAATTTACATTTATCCTAGTCTAAACCAATGATTTTTTTAATAAATGTGAGTATATATTATCATGTTTTATAAAAAATATATAATATAAACAAATTAATATTAGTTTTAAGCAAACTATATGTATTTCCGAATTGTTAGAAAAGAAGCTTGAAAGTATTTCGAATTGTTACCAAAAAATTTTAGAGATCTTTGCTTCAATTTTAAAAATTATAGATAAACAATGTTTTATACCATTAAATTTTAATAAACAGGTTTTAGGCAAAATCGAACATTGATATTTATTTATTTTTATATCACTATAAAGTATTATAAACAAACATTATTATTATTATTATTTACATTCCATATAGATAATATATAAAACGAATATATGTAATGTATCTGGAAGTTCATTAAGTATAAATATTTATATACACAAGTATATATGGCATATAGAAAGTAATCATTAATCAAATTTAAAAAATTGAGATATACATATTATATAGGGTGTTTCAGGGTTGAATCGAAAAACTTTACACATGAATTTAAGACTGTAAAACAAACAAATTTTTCCTCTGGAAGCATGCTCGCAATTGCTTCCTTTAAGAGATATTTACTACTAAAATTAATAAAAGTTAGGAATGTGTAACATTGAAATATTTGTGTTTCCCAGAACAAAGGTTACTAATTTGTTGCTGTTTGCACTGTAAGTAAAGCTCCTTTCATTTGTTCTGAGTACAAATATTTCAATGTTATCCATTCCTAACTTTTATTAATTTTAGTAGTAAATATCTCTTGAAAGAAGCATTTGCGAGCAAACTTCCAGAGGAAAAATTTGTTTGTTTTACGGTCCTAAATTCATATGTAGTTTTTTGGTTTAACCCTGAAACACTCTGTATAGACACGTTATTATAATACATAACTTGAATAAGGTATAATACAAAGTCTAAAATAACTTAAAGTTACATCAAGCAATTCATTGTAGTAAATAGAATATTTTATTAAATAAGTGTGAAATTAAGGCAAAGAATGTTAGTGTAACTTAAAAAATATATATATATATAATGTAATTGTTATACATATATTTTATGGTAAATAAATATTTTACTAAATCAGTGTTTTATCATAGTTAATTTTATCCACAGTTTAGGCGTAAATAATGTTAATAATAAATATCTGGTAACATGCATTTATAATGCATCAACATTCGAAAATATAACAAAATTATACAAATATATTGATAAATCTTCAAATATACTTTTAATTTGTCCTCTATTTACACTCAAGTTTAATAGAAAATTACTTTAATCATGTATACATGTGATCATATCGAAGTATTTTATGAATTATAGATATAATATTAATAATTATTATATCAAAAAAATAATTTCAATTAAGCTAAAATTTTGAAATATTTTAAAACAGAAATGAAGAACTTTGTTTAAAAAGAAACTTAAATTAACTAATTACTAATTAATAATTAATTACTGCTTCAAATTTTAGAAATCTTATTGATTATTAGGTATTAAATTCAAATAGATAGTATCCTATACTTGCAGTAATATTTAATAGTTTTCAAATTGATTTATTCAAATGTATCACATCAAATTTTATTTATATAAATTAATTTATATTTCGAAAGTATCTTAAAAACAAACCTTTAACAATATTATACATTAAAAAAACTTTTCTTAAAATATTTTATACATGAAATGTATTTATTTATCACGTTAAATTATTTACAACAAAATAAAAAATATTAGTAAAACACTTTATTAAGATGAGCATTACAAATAGTAAGCAGAGCAAGAAATTTAAATAGAAAATTATTTCTATTTATCAATAATGATACCTTGTAGTATAACAATAAATTTACAATAGCTTAATTTACATGAAATTGCACATATTACAGATTGTGTTTTGCATACATATCATGTATGAAGATTTTATTGTTATCCAATGTAAAACTTATACATAATTCCAAAAATATATGTTTATACATTTATAGTCCTTTATTTGATTGTTGATGAAATTTGAAGTAAATTTTATAAGCAGAATCACTATTGAAGTATTAAATTACGTATATACATTTATGTTGATGTCAATATTCCAACTGCACTTGTTAATCCTTCATTATTTCTTTCATTTTTTATAGGAACAATATTGTTTGTATTAGGCATCACTTTCATATCATTAGTTGGACTCAATGGTAAATTATTAAATGAATTTAAAGATGCAGTATCATTAAGATTCACTGCAGCACACATTGCATGCCTTTCATTATTTTCACATAGATTAACGCTAGTGTTAATATTTACATTATGTTTTTTCATGTGAGTTGTTAAATTTCCACTATGATAAAAATCCTTTCCACAAACTTTACATTGAAACGGTTTAATTCCGGAATGTATCCTTTTATGTATCGATAAATTTCCACTGTGCCTGAATTCCTTACCACATATACTACATTTATAAGGTTTTATGCCTGAATGAGTCCGTAAGTGTGTTGATAAATTTCCACTGTGACTAAACATTTTTCCACATATTTGGCACCCGTAAGGTCGTTCACCAGAATGTGTTCTCATATGAATAGCTAAATTTCCACTATGCGTAAAACACTTATCGCATTGATTACATTTGTAAGGCCGTTCTCCATTATGAGTCCTCATATGTATAAATAAATTACTTTTATGTCCAAACTCTTTGAAGCATATCTCACATTGGCATTTAAATTTTTTTCCTACATTTGTTTTGGAAGAACTTTTAGGTGGTCTTCCAGGACGGTTTGACTTTATTGAAGATGCTGGCTCTGAAGCTGTCAGTATTTGATTTACAAGTTTTGATTGCTGTATGTCTTGAGAAAGTTGTGACTGTTCGGTTTTTTGGGTAGTGTTTATATGACATTGTTGATTTAGTTGGTTGTGATCCGTACCTCCCTCTTGATTAACTTGGAATAACATACCATTTTGTATACAACCTTTCATGTATGCTAAAGAACCATTTTCCTAAAATAATTGTACATGTAATTAGCTTTTTAACAAACATTGTGCTATGATAATTTGTTTAATAAAGTACCAGAAATAACTAATACAACATTAAAAATTTTTAAGTAAAATTGCATACAAATTATATTTATTTAAATTATAAAACCCACTTCCATTTGGAATAAACATTGTTGATTGTGAACTTCATTCTTTGGTCGTATCTCATTTGATAACTGTGTATGACCCCAAAATTGTGGCAATTGATTATATTTATAGTCAACATCTTCATTAATGAATATTGGATACTTAGTATTATCAGAAGTATTAATTCTATTACCACAGTTAACATCTTCTACTCCCATACATTCATGTTTTATCTGTATAGGACTAAACATCTACAAATATACATTAAGGAAACAATAGCAATTAGTCAATAATTTTTATACAATTCTATATTAATTATAACAGGACTAATTAAGTTATAATTTATTAATTAACGAAAGTAAAGTTGTCAAAATTGCATTTCAAAGAAAAAGGACAATTTTTATTAGAAAACATAAACGGTTGAAATTATTATGAAAAATTTGTTCGAGAATTAAAATACTGGATAGACAAAGTCTATGCAAAAGCACCTACATTTTTATTAATATATTCTAGAGCTATCAATCACTATGCAACTAATTTGCAATTCTTCATTATTTAATCAAATGTTGAAATAAACAACATGACAGACACATATTATCACTTCACTACGATTATTCATTATGCGTATGTGTGTATTAATGATTATTTACATTTCTTAAAATATTATCGGATACATTAGGTAACGGGAGGGTTGCTTCTGTGTATCAGGACATTCGATCTCTTTGTTCCGTAAACGACATAAATTTTTTATATAGTCAACAATGCCATCTATGAAGACTAACAATGGTCGATTCCCATTCTAGAATCAAATGTTTATTGCTATTGGACACAGTCCTACAAGAGAATATGTTGCAGAATTGTACATGTTTAAAACATAATTTATATTCTAAAAACTATTAATATAAAAAAAAAACTATTTTGATGAAATTTTTTGGACAAGACCAAAATTTTCTAATTAGTAACGTTAACATTCCACATTTTATAAAAGTATTACTATAAACAATTCGTTTATGATATTATAGCGAGTCAAAAATGATTCGATCAGTATGTACATGTGTAATGTACACAGAGATGCCAGAAAAGCACCGCCGGGTGCACACGCACACATGCCAGATACGCGTACGTGAGCTCGTGGAGTTTCGGAAAGTCGACAAAGGCAAACTGACGCATGCCCTCTTTCTCGATTCTCCGAAGCTGCCCGAAGTAATTTCGGATCGCCTCGTGGGAGTCGAGAGAGAAAGGCTCACATTTGCCTTCTCGCTCTAAACAACTGAAATCCGACCTCCCGTCAACGGCATACGATTTGGATTCTCGAGCCGAGATTCTCGACTGCCCAGGCATTTTTACTTTCCGACCTATGTAGGCGCACATAAGCAAAGTACCCATAATGAAAAAAAAATTTTGTAAAATTTATTTTACGGAAATACACGCTTTTAAGACCTCCTGATCATATTTTAATTATTGAAAAAAAAGAAATTTTTTTTATTCCCATGTATGAGCACACATATGTATATTATTAATACGATTGAATATAAATAGCTGAATGAATTTAAATGAAACTTTACATTTAAGTTTTATGTTCTCATTTCAAAGGCGTGTGGACGGATTCAAATACGTGAACACTAAACGTAACGATGTAATTATATTATTTAATATTTACTAACTATTTAACATAAAGAACATAAAAGAAAGACATAAAACGTAAACGTAAAAGATCATAAACGTAAAACTGTGATTGCTCTCGACTAACGTTCGATACAGAGTGACGTTCCTGCAGTCAAAGTTGACCTTTCCTTATTCCTATCTTATAATAATGATCTAAACAAAACGCACGTTCGAGACGCAGTCTCTAAAACGTATTTCAGCTTAAACCTAAACACCTCACTCGATACCTACTCTAGCTTATTGTTAGACTAAACACTCCTATCGACGCAAACGATAACGGTTCTCCTAGCCACACACATACACTCCTTACAGATTATACCTCTTGTTTCATAGTTGTTCCGATATATAGGCATAATGTATAAAAAATCTTTTAAATGTTTCATATAAATCTTAGGACGAATTAAATTTTATATAAAAAAAATTATATAAACTTTTTCTCTATCTTCTCTAGAAAAGAAAACATTAAATGAAATCTTATACATTACATGCTTACTTAAATCGCATTGAAAACGAATACCACAAATGTTTTAGAATAATGTGCAAAATGTGATTGCGATTTTCGCTAAGACAAATTGAAAACTCGTTTCTAACAAGGAAAAGTTGGAATGGTACCAGGTTTTGGGTTAGGTTTTACTTTGAGATATTATTAAAGTTATTACAGATACTTATTTTCAGAAATAGAACTATGTTCACTACTAATCAGCGTGGCGTGAGTGATGAGGTCTTTGCCTGCAAGTTCCGAACTTCTTCTGCTCTGCTGGTTCGAACCCTGTTTGAACTTTTTTTTTTTATTTTTTCAATCATACTTTAATCGTACACTAAATATGACATTATATTTTTGTCTGACCTTCGAATATTTTTTTTAAAGTTAAATTTAACCGATTACATTTAACATATGTTATTTTCAATGTACGAAGTACATGAATCTGGATGGTACTTTTCACAAAAACAGTCAAAACATAAAAATTTCAAGCACCACGTAAGTACATTTACTGAGTTTTGTTTTCACAGAAATTACAAAATTTTGTATTTAACTCTGATGGAAAGGCCGCTTCATTTACATTGATAAAATGTGAACGATTTTCGGATGGTCGTACCTTGTAGCTCGTACTTTTTACCTTATACTTCAGGTAAAAAGGGATATAGCTGGGAAAAACAGTTTTATGACATTACGTGCTAACTTATGTTACTGTTCTACAATGAAACGCTATGTTTTGTACCTTTAAAAATATTCGACTATGTGCTTTTAAAATTTAAGATACAACCCATACTTTGTATTAAACTGGCAAACGGGATCACTTTTCCTTTGTTTCTAGTTAGTTCTATTTAGTTCGTCATAACCAATTGATACGGTTATTTCAAAACAATCGAGGAAAATCATTATTAATTAATTTCTGCAATTATTAATTCTACTGTTTTGTTTATGTTATAAAAGTAAGAACTCTTCTTATTGAAAAATACCACAGCGTGCACAATACTGGTAAAGAGTGGAATCTCATTTTAATTTATTAATTTTCAATCTTAAAGTATTTTGATTTTCAAAAATCGTATTAATAATATACATATGTGTGCTCATACATGGGAATAAAAAAAAATTTCTTTTTTTTCAATAATTAAAATATGATCAGGAGGTCCTAAAACGTGTATTTCCGTAAAATAAATTTTACAAAATTTTTTTTTCATTATGGGTACTTTGCTTATGTGCGCCTACATAGGTCGGAAAGTAAAAATGCCTGGGCAGTCGAGAATCTCGGCTCGAGAATCCAAATCGTATGCCGTTGACGGGAGGTCGGATTTCAGTTGTTTAGAGCGAGAAGGCAAATGTGAGCCTTTCTCTCTCGACTCCCACGAGGCGATCCGAAATTACTTCGGGCAGCTTCGGAGAATCGAGAAAGAGAGCATGCGTCAGTTTGCCTTTGTCGACTTTCCGAAACTCCACGAGCTCACGTACGCGTATCTGGCATGTGTGCGTGTGCACCCGGCGGTGCTTTTCTGGCATCTCTGAATGTACAGAAGGTATTGCAAAGTTACACAGTACCGGAACATTTATCTGGATTGGGGCCGGAGGTCACACGATTTTTTGGATATTCCGGTTTTCTGGACTAAGATTTACTATACAAGCTGGGGTATTTAAATAAGATCGCCTAAATATTTTCGTTATTTATAATAGCATGACAAAATTTTTTAAGATAAAGTTATACTATATTAAGAAACATATGTAAAGATAGAACAAATTTTTCACGAGATTTTGCGGTGTGTGTTCTTTAAAAAAAAGTATAGGTAATAGATATACTATAATTGAGGTGTGATTGATTGAGCTTCATGTTTGGGATATTCCACATTGCACATTTTGCTATCACCAAAATTTTTTTTGGGCATTGGGTTTGCTAGAGCTACGACAAAATAGTTAACAATATTCTGTGAGAATCGTTCCAACAAACTATATTTATGCATTAATAGTTTTAATAAAATATATCGTAAAATTAGATTATAAGCGAAAAACATTAAAAAATACATATTATTTGTTTCATGCCAGTTTTGCATGTTTTTCTTCTATACGTTCCCTTTAATAATTCATCATTTTGTTAAACTGTTATACGATAATAAGTAAATGTCATTTATTTACGACAAATGAAGACAATGGGTTGGATATTTCCAATGATCATTTTAATTCAAACGCATTAGCATTAACGCGCTTAAAATCCCCTAATTCATATTTTGGTCAGCATACCCCCTATTTATACGTCTCCTGATCCACATGTGTGTCATGTTTACATTGAAACCGGATTTTTTTGTAAACGTATAGAGATTTATACTTTTAAGAATTTGTTCACTGTTGCTAAATGTAGGTTCAGTATGGCTAATACTAGAATAGGCTGTACTGAAGGATATTCTGCAGATTATTTTCCCCTGCATTATACTGTTTTTTAGGCTCATGATTTTCTGAAGCATTCGATAATGTTAAAATTGATATATACTATTGCACGAAAACAATAAATATTTAAATTACTCTATACATAAACAAATCATAATTGAATCCATAACTCCTAAAAACAGATTGTTATTTGTAGCCCTCTATTGGTGCGATTCGGAAAGTGTTGGTACTCGCGTGAGTACTTAATTTTAAATTTTCATAGACAGATCTATCTATGTATTTAATTGGTGTATGAAGCAATATACTTGTTGACAATAAATTTAATGTTTTCGTACGACAGGAAAGAATTGGTTATGTCAATTTTGACATAATTATTTTTTATATTAGAATTCTTTATGTATTTTGTAAATGCTTGAAAGTGGTGTTAAATGCAAGCATTTTAAAGTACATGCACTTTAAAAAGACAATTATTTTCTTCCAATTATTACGATTTTTAAGTATTAGAAGTTTAATAAAAGTCAGAGCTTTGGTGGAAATTCGTTAATATCGTATTTTCGTTAAACTCATTTGTTGTTCATTTGAAAAAGTAACGCACCGAATTAAGAATATATAAGAGCAATAGTGAAACTTAATTATTTGGAGAAGAATAACTGAAATGTAAGCTTATACACTATGCCTGGTGGACGACGTAATGCTGCCAGTCGTAATGGTCAGACAAAGTCACAGACTAGCTTTTCTGCAACGACAAACGTTGCTACAAGAAGCAATAGTGGAGAAAGAGTAGCTGTGGATGACAAAAAGTCAGAGGAATTCTGTGAACCAAAAACATTGGTACCAAAACACGTACCTATACCAGTTGTACCTATAGATGGTCATCTAACATTTGAAGCTTTATCTTTGGTTGCATCGATTATTGCAGCTTCTCTTCAAATGCTTAATTTATATAGAACTGTGTGGTGGTTACCTCATTCTTATAACAATTATAGTATGGTATGTTGTTCGAATTAATCTATATTTAGTTAATAAATATTATATGATTGTATTATAATCTTTCTACTTTCAGAATTTTTACTTAGTAGATCCATACTTGCTTGTATTCAT